TGTGATAAAAAGGTTTGGAAACCTTTTTAGCAAGAAATTATTATTAAAACTTTATAAAGTATTTGTTTTACCACATTTTCGCTATTGCACCCTTATTTGGCATTTTTGTGGAAAAAGGAATACTGAAAAATTAGAATCTTTAAATAGACGTATATTAAGATATATTTTTCAGGATAAGGAGCTAGTCTAGTTACGACTGACTTGTTATCTCAAACAAATATTAGTACATTGTATAATGCTAGAATGTATAGTATCAAAAACGACCAAGTATGGATTGAAGTCCATAAAATATTTAGCAGCCAAGAGTTGAAATTCACTAACGGACGATTTCAGGACGATAATGGACATTTATAAATTTAAAACCGAAATTAAAACGCTGGATTTTTCTATTCCTTCTTAAAATTGTATAGCTAGAAATATAGATATATATTTTCCTCATATTGCATGTATTACATGCTCGACGATATTAGCTCATTGTTTGAGCTACTCTGTAAATTCGAGTTAAAATAAAGTGTATGTATGTATGTATGTATGTATGTATGTATGTATGTATGTATGTATGTATGTATGTATGTATGTATGTATGTATGTATGTATGTATGTATGTATGTATGTATGTATGTATGTATGTATGTATGTATGTATGTATGTATGTATGTGTGTATGTATGTATTATGTATGTATTATGTATGGTGTTGATTTTCTGGCCACCGTTGGTAACAACGAAGCCGCCGGTGAACTCAGGAAAGCAGGTCGCAGAATTAAGTTTGGACAAAGATGGATGGAAATTCAGTTGTAACTGTAATCTGTAAGTGGCAATGTCGATGTAAACGAGTGTTGGCTGGGTATAATGGAAAAGGAAAATTTTGTCTTTGTCTTTGGCAGCTTTTACGGCCACCTCTTCGATAACTTTAACTGCTTTCTTTATCCTCCCTTTGCTTCAATGCTTTCGCTTTTTGGACTTTAGCCTCAGCGTCTTTGATCATTTTCTTCTCCTTTTTTTTGGATTTCCTAAGGATTTTCTGCTTTTCCTTAAGGTTTGCTTTAAGCCTTCTTTTGGTTTCAATCTTCGCAATCTTTAGTTCGGTGTTCTTAAGCTTTTCGATAGATTTGGGGACTGGGGAGATCGTCCTGATGGGTGATTACGTTCTTCGATCGGCGTCCTTTGGACTTGGTCACACTTTCTGAACTGTTCATGTTTAATTAAGATGTTTTTATTTCTGGTTGGAAAGTTATGTCTTTAAATAGTTGTCAAGTTGATTCTGCACTGATGACATCTGTTTTCATTTTTCCAGACCCATGCGGGTTGAAAAAACATGAACAGTTTTAGAAAGCAATTTCCGGCAAGTCTGTATCTGGACGTACTAACAACGTCCTGTTTTATATTATTTATGTTGGAAAAGTCTTATATTTAATTAAATTAGATTTTGCGACGGACCCTTAGGTCCCGCTTGTTCCCGAAGGGAGCTGACGCTTGCCAAAGGCTTAGGGACCGGTCATAAAGTAAAAAGGGGGGGTGGGCTTGGAAAAATAGGGGGGTGGGTCACTATTTTTGAGCACGGTTGAAAGGGTTGGTCATCGAAAGTTAAGCGCAATCATAAGGGTTGGCCATGTAAAAATATGCAGAAGATTGGGCCCCAGTCATTTTTTGTGTTAAAAATTTCCGCGCAAAGAACAAGATATCTGTTTTTTGGGCTAAGTACCGAAATTTGGTATAAAAAATTAAGATAAAGTCCTAGGAAAGCAATTGCAAAGTACTCGTCCGGAAAATTTTTTAACCTAAAAAAGTTGTCGACGGGGGGGATTCCGGAAAAAATTGGAAAAGGAGTGGGTCATAATTTTTCAGCACCAATTTATGTGTGGGCTACAAATTTTCCGCGTGCAGCTATTAAGGGGTGGACTACCAAAAGTGCAGACACGAAATATATGATTTTCCCAGCCCACCCCCCTTTTACTTTATGATCGGTCCCTTACGCTCTGTGCGTGCACTCGCCGAAATATTTTCTTAATATTTTCAGTGACATAGGGGCTCAGAAGAATCCAATAAGTTATATTATTATGTATTACGTATACAATCTTGGTTTGGTTTGGCTGCTGGCCTACAGATAATTATATATTATTATTATTATTATTATTATTGTTATTATTATTATTGTTGTTGTTGTTGTTGTTATTATTATTGTTATTATTGTTGTTATTATTATTGTTGTTATTATTATTGTTGTTATTATTAGTGCAGAGTTTCTTTGAAACTGTGCACTATTGTGATGAGTGGCGAAAATTCACATCTGTCATACATCAGATATCATAGAGTAAACTTTCCGGGGGGTGTATACGATTTACCGTCGTGGTGATTTATTCTACTTAGTCAGTGCTTTGAAGGTTATTTAGGCAATTTCAGTTGTCTTATTTAAATACTTATTTTGTCCTTTTGCCAAGTTCACAAAAATTTCCAGGAATTGCTGTTATTGCAAATGTTTGTCAATTTTATAACATTTGCTTCTCCGTGTTGTGTGACAGATCTTTCCCCCGGAACACCCATTTTTTCTTTAGCAGCGCAAATGCGCATGTGCTATCAAGCTGTAGATCACGATGGCAGCCTCGTACCCAGGCGCAATTAACTAAAAATAGGCACACTACAGTGTTTGCGCCTGGGTACGAGGCTGTCACGATGGCGTGACGAATGACGATGCTAGGAAGGAGCGACACTGCCGAACAGTGTTGTTTTCAAATTATAAACATTTTTATAGACGTGAATATCGAGTAAATCTTTGAGAATCTACGCAATATATAAATTGATGTTATGACTTATGCATTATGGGCATTCAATTAAGTACCGATATTATTTTGACGGTATATTCAATTTCAATATACAAAGCTAGGAAGCAGCGAGACAGTGTACGTTGTTTTGTCTTTTGAAATGTATGAACATTTCAGGCATGAATATTGAGAAAATCTTTAAGATTCTACGCAATATATAAATTGATGTTTTGCATTACGGGCATTCAATTAAGTGCCGACGGTATATTCATTATACAGAGCTAGGAAGCAGCGAGACCGTGTTTTCAAATGTATAAACATTTCAGACATAAATATTGAGAAAATCTTTGTTTACGTGTATAGCACAACGGTGCAAACTCGTGTTCAGTGCAACGAAAACTCTACCAGATCTTACGAGAATCTATCTGTATCAAAGCTTGTCAAAACTGCTATATAAACACTGCAATAACTGTGAAACTATTGAAATCTAAAGTTACATTATTGTCTTTTACTGAATACATGCGAAAAGCTGAAAATGACTCATGAAACAACAACGTGACCTTTGAAATATATCAAAGGTCAATGAGACTTGTTATTGTGAACACGTCATAATTAGATTAAAATGCGGAAAGCGGATGCGGATTCACGGAACGGATATGGGGATAAAATGCGGATGAAATGCGTCATTTTAATGAGTTTTTCGCCTCTTATTTACGTTTCTGTGTTTTAGATTTGTGTTCATTTTTTGTAATGGAATACAACGTCGTAGTGCTTATTATTCATAACATATCTTATACAGCCATTTTCTCAAGTTGTCACTGAGACAATAGCCAAAGTGTACAATATGGGCGCTAAAAGGATGGTGGGAATAATCACAGATTTAAACAAGTCACCTAGGTTGCCGGCGACCCTATATAGTGTCGTTTTCAATTGGAAACTTTACAACATTATAACAGAAATTATGCCTTGTGACTAATATTATATGAGGAAATAAATAATATTACATAACTCTCGTCATTCTTTAATCTTAAAGTATTAGATTTAAACCAGATCTTAGCATTTTTACTGTTGTAACAGTCACGCGCGCTACTACTGTACGTCATATCGACATGTGATTAAAGCTATAAACCACGCTTGAAAAACTATTCAATTAATAAGTATGTCAATATAGCGTTCGTCTTTGAAACTCTGCACTATCCTTGGATCCCTAGTTATTATTGTTGTTATTATTATTATTGTTGTTATTATTATTATTGTTGTTATTATTATTATTGTTGTTATTATTATTATTGTTGTTATTATTATTGTTGTTATTATTATTATTGTTGTTATTATTTTTATTGTTGTTATTATTTTTATTCGGTTGTCATTATTATTATTATCATTATTATTATTATTATTATTATTATTATTATTATTATTATTATTGTCGTCGTCGTCTTCGTCGTCGTCGTCGTCGTCGTCGTCGTCGCCGTCGCCGCCGCCGCCGTCGTCGTCGTCGTCGTCGTCGTCGTCGTCGTCGTCGTCGTCGTCGTCGTCGTCGTCGTCGTCGTCGTCGTCGTCGTCGTTGTTATTGTTATTATTGTTGTTGTTGTTGTTGTTGTTGTTGTTGTTGCTGTTGCTGTTGTTGTTGTTGTTGTTCTTGCTGCTGTTGTTGTTGCTGCTGTTGTTGTTGTTGTTGTTTTTATTGTTGTTATTATTTTTATTCGGTTGTTATTATTATTATTATTATTATTATTATTATTATTATTATAATAACAAATAATATTAATATGAAAAATAATAATAATAATAATAATATTATTAATATTATTATTATTATTAATATTATTATTTATTATTATTAATATTAATATTATTATTATTATTATTATTATTAAGTAGGTTCAAGTAGTCAATTATAAATTACCTAAATTAGTGAGATTTATAATTGTATATATACGTATATAATTTCAATAAAGTTTCCATTATTATTACGTCCACGTATATCCGAAAATGGCTTGAACTTCCTATTTCTGCAACCCTCAGTAACGTCCTACTTCCCCACAATAAATTTGGATTAAATATCATTCTACCTTCAACCAAATTCCTTCAATGCCAAACTGTTTCTCGGAAAGCCCTAAAGTCGTCGCCAAATGAAGCGATCAATAACCTTTGGAAGGATACTAGCAATCACAAAAATGTACAATATGTACAATACAAAAACACCAAGGACGTATTAAACACCATCAGGAAACAACATGAAGACAAGCTTCAACACCACCTCATTTCACAAGGCTCATTTTTCTCCAATATCATTAAACATTCACACTCTCATTCAACTCTATTGGTCCTCCGTTCAGAGTAAACTTCCGAAGAATATATTTAACTTCACTATCCGGTATATAAATAACACTCTTCCGACTCGCAAAAACCTTCTGAAATGGGGAATATCACCAACATCCGAATGTTCGTTTTGTTTGAATCCAGAATCACTTCTTCACGTCGTCGCTGGATGCAAGACCTACCTAAATGAAGGACATTTCACGTGGCGTCATGATTCAGTGCTTAACTTCATAGCATCCATACTTAAATCTGTGAACCATTGTAACCTTTATGCTGACCTTCCTGGCTATATCAGTCCATCTGTTATCACCGGAGATGAATTGCTCCCTGATCTTTTGATAACACTTGAAAACAAATGTATTTATATACTTGAACTTACCGTCGGATTTGAATCTAATCTCCTCACTAATGCAACTCGAAAAAGACAAAAATATCAAGATCAAATTAACGAACAGCTCAAAAATTATGAAAAAGTGAAATTTGTTAATTTATCGATTAGCTCATTAGTAGATTTCAGCCACCCGTCGCTAGATTTCACCGCAATGCTGAAGGATCTAAAGTTTGATGAACAATGTAGAAAGTACTATGTTCGGAAAATTATTAACATATGTATCAGGTCCTCGTATTATATATTCTGTAAGCGTAACAAAGAATGGGATAACCCACAACTAATGTCATACTAATATTGTTATTATGTAGAGTGTTAATTCAAGTAGACACTGGTAAACTACCTGTAAAGAGAGGTTTATCATTGTAGTGTGTATATATATTATTGAAAGAAATAAAGTTTCCATTATTATTATTATTATTATTATTATTATTATTATTATTATTATTATTATTATTATTGGTATTATTGTTATTGTTATTGTCGTTGTTATTGTCGTTGTCGTTGTCGTTGTCGTTGTCGTTGTCGTTGTCGTTGTCGTTGTCGTTGTCGTTGTCGCTGTTGTTGTTGTTGTTGTTCTTGCTGCTGTTGTTGTTGTTGTTGTTGTTGCTGTTGCTGCTGCTGCTGCTGTTGTTGTTATTATTATTATTATTATTATTATTATTATTATTCATGTCTAAGAATATTCACCACCGCATGAATTTGAGTAGTGAAGCCCCCCACTCTGGCGGAATTTATAATGAGCTTGAAAAGTCTATGACGTCACTTTGTTTAGCTAACACTCTTGCGGAATTTATAATCAGCTTCCAAAATCTATGACGTCACTTTGCTCAGCTAACAATCTGGCGGAATTTATAATGAGCTTGCAAAATCTATGACGTCACTTTGTCCAGCTAACAATCTGGCGGAATTTATAATGAGCTTGCAAAACTATGATGCCACTTTGCTGGCCTTTAAGGCCCTGTTTTTATGCAACTTGTCTCGCAATGTTTAAAAAAAGATTTTGATAATGCATTGCAAGAGGTGTTACACGCTGCAATGATATTCATACAACTCGCAACGATACGGGACAGAGGCATGCGAAGAGGATAGGGAGAGCCGCTATTTGGCGCCAAATTTTAATTAAAGTAAAGCGTGTACTGGGGAGAGCCAATAGGAACTCTCCAAGCATTGAACATTGCGAGACAAGTTGCATGAAGCCATGTTACACGCTGCAATGCTAAAAATAATTAGTGCAATCGTTGCCAAAAGTAGAACCGACTTTTACTCTCTGCAATGCTTCAGGCAACTTGTCTCGCAACGATTTTGACCATTGCAAGGCATGTTAAACGGTGCAATGACTCGTGCAACTTGTCTCGCAACGCCATTGCGAGACAAGTTGCATGAAAAATTGCACCGTGTAACACGGCCTTAACCCTACTAGCGCGACCAATTAACCCGGGCAAGGTAACTCCTTCGACAGCCTTCAACCCTAGTGTAATTACGCCACAGAACAAGAGCAAGCAACACTCGGACAAGCCTGAGCCAGATGTTAGGGATAGCGCGACCAAACACACATGTATTTTGATTGTTGTTTTTTTTCGTGTGATTAAAACATGCTCTTGCGATAGCTCAGTTGGCAGAGCGAAGGACTGTAGTTGCTTAGGTCGTTGGTTCAAGCCCAGCTCGCAAGATTTAAAAAACTCTTTTTGGCGGTCGGGAAAATGTATATGTAGCTCGGAGCCTAATTCGGAATAATCAACCTTTGAAAGCCAAAAGCTTAGAGCCTAGTCTAAATAGCTCGGAGCCTGGTTCGCGGAGCCGGTCCGTTCGAAGCATAGTCTTTAGTTGAAAACGTTTAGTTCATGTCTACACGGTAAAGTTACTACCTTTTCGACTACGAAAAATGGTACATTTTGATTTTGTGGGGAAAAACCTTTTAGAACAGTTGTAATATATTTTGAGATAAAAACATGTAGTCGTTATATACGTTGTTATGTGTTGCTAAGTCATTAGCGACGCTTGGGTGCATGCATATATTAACGTACAACATATTTGTACACTTTTCAGGCGGGCGGGTTGCGCGGGCGGAAGAGCGGGCTTTGCAGGCAAAAATTTACACAAGATTTCAGTTTTAAAATACATTTATTTCTTCAAAACGTTTTACAAAATTTAGTACGGTCTACTTCTAAGAGCGCAACGTCTAGGTGTTTTTGTTATTTTTAAAGAGTTCTCATATTCTTGTCTATCCTCAGGTGATAATCTTGCAACATCTTCATGCTTCATTGGAATATATTTCGGTCTTTCGTTTAGTAAAAAACGTTCATAATCCTCTCTTTCTTTCGGTTTCATCATAGCCAAGTCACTTTCTTTCCAATCAGAAGAGTCTACCCAATTGTAGAAAAAGTTGCGCTTTAGTCTTGGTCGTTCCTCTTCTGTTGGTGGTGGCGTAAGGAAATTAGGTTTAGGAGTAGCAGGCACTGGTGGTGGTATTTCCGCTGGTATAGGCGTAGGTGGCACTTGTGGTGGTATCTCTGCAGGCATTAACGGTGATGTTTGAACAGGGGCTTGAGCCGGGACATCCATCTTATTTTTGAATGTGAGAAATCGGTTTAGTTGATCAGAATATAATTTGTTTTTTTCCACAGCGCTAAGTTGTGGTGCATCCATGATTTCTTTCATTCGCTTCTCGGCATCATACATGGCATTTAAAAGCGGTGGTTGACGATACGATTGTTTTTGTATAAACCTTGCAATCTCGCCTGGAATTATATTCGTCTTAAGTCGATCTTCATCACTCGTTGTTGGTTTTAAATCCAACATTAAGTACCCGTAAGGACTTTTCCGGGATTTATTTGCCCTGCAAGCATAGAAATTTTCTGTTTATCTCTTGGTGACTTGAACAGCACGATATAATGCGCGTTCAGACTGGTATTTCTCATTTGCCTTGATGGAATATATTTTGAACAATATAAATGATAGACAAATTTCGATGATGACTTCCTTTCGTAAAAAGATCAGCAATACGTTTATCCTTGCTAGATTGTGCCATGAGATCATCCAATACGATCAAATTCCGTTGCGATACATCCAAGTAATCTGCGTTGTCGATATCGTCGGGAATGCCTTTATTGAACTCGATTCCAGGCATCGTTCGCATCATATCAAAATAGTAGGGTTGCCATTGACCATAACACCAAATGATACGTTGAGGAGCAGAACGTATGGTCTTCTAAGCATTCTCCAAGAGAGATTTTACCCATACGGTTTTGCCGCTTTGTGTACACCCAGCTACAATTTAAGTAAATGGGTGTTCCAAAACTGTAACTCCATTCACCGTAAGAGTTTGTTGCCAAAGATTACGAGTTCCATATGCATGAACAACCTTCTTGTGGCGAAGGAGATTACTCGCATTTGCAAACGTTTTACCACAGATGTCGCATTCATAAGACATGTTTACTTCGCAAGAGTCAGAGTGAAATGATTTAAAGCGAGGGTGAAGAGGTATATTTATCCCGTTTGCTATAGTCATTAAGACTACAGTAAAGACTATGAAAGACTATAGTCTTGATTATGAAGACTATAGTCATGACTATAAAGACTATAGTCCTGACTATGAAGACTGTAGTAAAGACTATCAAAGATTATATAGTCCTGACTATGAAGACTACATTAAAGACTATGAAAGACTATAGTCCTGGCTATAAAGACTATAGTCCTGACTATGAAAGACTATAGTCCTGACTATGAAGACTACATCAAAGACTATGAAAGACTATAGTCCTGACTATAGTAAAAACTAAAGACTGTAGTAAAGACTATGAAAGACTATAGTCATGACTATGAAGACTATAGTCCTGGCTATGAAGACTATAGTCATGAATATGAAAGACTATAGTCCTAACTATGAAAGACCATAGTCCTGACTATGAAAGACTATAGTCCTGACTATGAAGACTACATTAAAGACTATGAAAGACTATAGTCCTGACTATAGTGAAGACTAAAGACTGTAGTAAAGACTATGAAAGACTATAGTCATGACTATGAAGACTATAGTGATTAGAAATTTAGAAATTTATTATCTTTCCCACAGAGGAGCTTTTCATGCTATGAAAGACTATAGTCATGAATATGAAAGACTATAGTCCTAACTATGAAAGACTATAGTCCTGACTACGAAGACTATAGTAAAAAAAAACACGATTAAGACTATAGTCTAGACCTAGTATGTAGAGGGCGAGCCGACCCTTATATATATGCGTCATTCTCAACTAAATCTTCATTCCGTTGCTGACCGCCAAACAGAGATGACTAGCAGTTATATCAAACACAGACCGTTTGTGGAGCTCTTGTGTACATCTCATCCAATTCAACAGCAAGCTCTGTTGAATTCTGCATCTCTTGAACAGATTCGCTTTCTATGTAATTGCTTGGAAAACTTTACATATCCTAAAGGAACATTGAACAAACTTGGACCATTTAAAGACGATCTCGCTGATTTAGCAGACAGAAGTAAGAGTTTTATAAGGAAAAGGAAAATTCTTGTTCAGCGCGGGAGTGGTTTTCTAGGATTGGTACTTGCACCACTTTTAGAGGGCCTTGCAGAATTAGTATAAAATAACCATCATTAATTCACATTGTCATTAAAACCATGGACAGCAAGGAAAGATAATCTCAGAGACATTGGCGTGTTGAAGATATACTTGGACACTTCAACGATAATGTTGATAAACACATTGCGGAAGAACTTCTTCGCTCCATTCTCACATCCACGGATATTCTCACATGGAATCTTCAAGGGGAAATTGTATACAAAGGACAGAATATACGTGGAACAAATATTGTAGATCTTTTGCAATATACTGTTTTACCATATAATACTGAAATTCCGGAACCAGCTGGACTGAATATATTTCTCAAAGGTCCTGCAAAATTGGATATTGATAAAAGCCTAATCGTAAATGGGCGTGTCCTTACAATGTTAGCCCACAAGTGGTCCTACCAGGATATACAGTCTGACAAATCCCAGGATGAGTCTGAAGACATGGACACAGTAGTTTGTAACGGTTGTAACAAAGATTTAGACATCTCCCATTTGGCCACATGTCCTATATGCACATGGACAGATTTTTATCCAAATTGTAAGAGGTGTCACTGTACGATCTGTGATTTTCGACGGTCCAAAGGAAATTTCACGCATGTAATCGCCTGTTGCCAACATTGTCATTGTGATGAAATTATGGATGTTAGTACGGATAAAAGACTTTTTTACCATAAAATAGGCGAACAAAGTGATATACATTTGATCATTTTACTGTGTGAATTTGAACTGAACACATCAACATGGTGAGATGTACGCTTGTTATAGACACAAAACTATTGAAAGACCATTTCTTGAGACAGCAGCGTGGTGGGAATATCGCTGGGTTTTATGGTGCACGTTTGCAAAGGGGATATGGGATCGGAAGCATTTTCAAGAGCCTTGCAAGATATGCTATCCCTCTATTCAAACAAGGAGCTAAAGTTGTTGGCAAAAGAGCATTACAAGCAGCCACAGAAGTTGGTCAAGATGTACTTCAAGGAAAAAATGTAAGAGAATCTGTAAAGATTCACAGAGGGAAAATTGTTAAAGACTTTGTTGAGCAAGGAGCAAGGACTCTTCTGCGTCAAACGGGACATGGAAGCAAAAGAAGGCGAAGTCAACGCAGCAATCTATCATCAGTCAAGAAGCAAAAACTGGAAGAAGATCCAAGACGTCCCAAATGGATTAGGAAAGATGAAAGCGACTGCGATGATGAAAGCAACCACGACGATGAATCTGAAAGCGAAACATCTCAAACAAGTGACGATTAGAAGCATAAAAATAACAAAAACACCTAAACGTTATGCTCTCAGAAGTAGACCGTACTAAATTTTGTAAAACGTTTTGAAGAAATAAATGCAATTTTAAAACTGAAATCTTGTGTAAGCCAGCTTCCGCCCGCGCGATCCGCCCGCCTGATAAGTGTACAAATATGTTGTACGTTAATATATGCATGCACCCAAGTGCCGCTAATGACCGACAACACATAACAACGTATATAGCAACCGCACATTTGATTAATTTTTTATGGTAAAATATATTACAACTGTTCCAATTCTAACTTATATTCTTGATAAGCTTCCTTATATCTATGTGGTTTGCTAAATAATGCTGCAGCAAACAACTCTAATGGCTTTTCTTGATCTTAATACGACAAATAGGACAAGATACATTTACAGTTCATTTACAGTTCAAGATTCAATATACAGTTCATGACTCTCAATTCGATAAAAGATTGTGCTTGGATCAAATGTTTTAAAATTTATCAAAAAATACGGACAAATCTCAAGATGTTTCTGTACCTAGCAGCAACGCATAGTAAGCCAATCTTCATTTGATGGCGTGGGACGCGAAAAAATGCTGAGCTCAGCGAAAATAATGACTGTTCGTCTGAACATGTCCACGGCCGCCCGTAATAATATCCATTTATATCTATTAGAATCCTATTGGTTATGCAAGTTCATTTTGCTTTAATTCCCTTCATTACCTCAACCTTTGTGTTTTACACGTGGGAAATACCTGACAACGCTGTCATCAGAATATTTATTTACCATCAGAAAAATTATTGAATTTATCCGAGTTTTAGTACTTTAAAAACCTAGCACTAAGATATAGAAATCGCTTGACAATTATATATCATGACCTCTAACTTCCATGTGTTTATAGAACTCTAGACAGCAACATATAATCTCGTATATAGACCCCATATGGCAGTCCGGGACTAAATATTAGTTTAATTGTAGATACATAACTCTTACCGCATGCTATTTCTCAGCGTTTTGACCCTTGATAATATTTATATATGACTTAACAACAAAACAGGTAGCTGTATACCCCGAATATAAAAGTTGTTTATTCCTCTAGGAGCTAAATTATAGAAATCACTTGACAATAACAGCAAAATGCTATAGCTGTGCTTATAAAACTCTAGACAACAACATATTCTCCTGTATATAGCCCTACTTTTCATATGGCAGACCGCGATTTAAATATTAGATATGGGAACGCTAGCAACATCTGTAAATGTAAAAATCCTCAAACCTCCAATCATAGTAAATCGACATTAATCCCTCTATTTCAGAAACTATTTGTAATGCTAATTGGTCGCCTGTCACAGTTGGTCCAGGCTTGCCCGCGTTAATTGGTCGCGCTACCTGGCGTTATAGATTTTGCAAGCTCATTATAAATTCCGCCAGATTGTTAGCTGGACAAAGTGACGTCATAGATTTTGCAAGCTCATTATAAATTCCGCCAGAGTGGGGGCTTCACTACTATTTTGAATTGCGATGAATTTACAACTAAGTATTTAATTACAATATTAACAGTAATAATTATAAGGATTAAAGAGTTAAAATATATTAAAACGTTACTTTGTATACTTATATAAAATCTGTATTTAAATGTTGCTACTGTCATTAAAAATAGCTACAGTGCTTCGGAAAGAAGCTGCGGCGGTACAAGTTCTGTTCTGCATTTGATTGTAGTTAATGCATTAGAATTTCTTAGGTTGTAATCGTAACAGGTGTCTCTCGGTGCAGGAATGTGACTAAATAAACGACTTCCTTGTGGTATATTTTTCAACGTTTTAAGGCAAAGTTTTTCTCGTCTCTCGTCTAGCCGGGCGCATTTCAGAAATGTTAGGGCTTCACTATAGGTGTATTCTGGTAAAATAATTCTAAGTGCGCGTTTCTGGACTCGTTCTAACTGGTTAGCAAGATACGAAGGTAAAGTATTTTGCCAAACAACACAACAATACTCTAACACTGAGCGTATGAACGCGAAATAGATCTCAAGTAAATCTTCAGCAGGGACGCCACTTCGGCGTAAAGTGCGGATAATGTACAAAGGTTTAGATGCTTTGGAAACGACTGAATCAATGTGTTCGTTCAATTTTAGATTGTTCTGAATAATAAGACCAAGCTAGAACTTTGTGAGACTGAACGATTTCAAGCGCTTGTTCATCTATCAATAATGGCAATAGTTCAGGTTTTTCTTTCTGGAAACAAATGCGTAGTTCTTTAAATTTTTTAACGTTAAGTTTCATATAGTTCTGTAGGGACCAAGTACAGATTGAGTCAAGATTAGATTGCATATTAGAAGTATTAGGAAGGAGATAAGGGAATTTGGTCAATTCGCTGAGGGGGGCGTTGTGGATCCTCCCACCACAGCGAAGAAGACCACTTGCGTGAAGGAAGAGGCGTAGCTGGCGGACAAGTGGTAGGTGGTTGTCATGCTTGGTTCGTAGGTTGGCGATTTCTTTACCGTAGGTAAGCGCTTGTACATTTTGAATCCACTGGCATTCTGCTTCTTGCAATTCTTGGGTGGTAAAGGGGCCAGATTGGGGCGGATTTCGTTTGGTGTAGATGTTGACATACCGTAGGATATAGGCAGTGCGACGGATAAGCTTGGATAACTTGGTCTCTCTTGATACGTTTTATATTCCTCTTTTCCGATATTATTCCTCTTTTCAAGTAAACGAACTGGAAGTCTTTCATTTATTGAAAGCAATTAATCGTGGAAAGGCGTCAGGTCCTGACGAAATCCCCAATTGGGCTCTTAAGGAATATGCTGAAATCCTCGCACAGCCAGTATGCGCTGTGCTAAACAGCAGCTATGCCGAACAACAACTACCTAAATCTTGGAAGCTTGCCAACATTGTGCCCCTCATAAAAACTAAGCCCGTTAGCGACATCTGTAAGCAGTTACGACCAATTTCACTTACTGCCGCTATTTCGAAAATCGCTGAGGACTGTTGTTAAAAAATACATTGCTCCAGCTATCATGAGTATAATCGATCCAAGTCAATATGGAGTAATACCAAGAAGTTCAACTACTCTCGCTGTTATATCTATGATCCATGAATGGTCGCAAGCTACTGATGGCACTGGCTCTGCTGTCAGAGTCATCCTGTTCGATTATAGAAAAGCATTCGACCTTATCGATCATGCTTTACTGGCTGATAAAATTTCAAATTTAGCTATTCCACGTGCGGTTGCTCGCTGGACAATCGATTTTTTGATGAATCGAAAGCAGAGAGTGAAATTATCCAATGACTGTTATTCGGAGTGGGGTGATGTACTCTCCGGTATCCCTCAAGGTACAAAATTAGGGCCCTGGTTATTTTGTTTAATGATAAACGATCTTGATATTTGTGATATATCGAGGTGGAAGTTTGTTGATGACACAACAGTTGCTGAAGTAGTTAGTAAGGACACAGAGAGCCGTGTTCAAGTCGCAGTTGATGTTGTGGAAGATTGGTCGAAGGCAAATGGGCTATCTCTTAACGCTGAGAAATGTAAAGAACTGAGAATCGATTTTAAAAAATAAACAACCTTTTGATCCTGTACTGGTGGGTGGAGAAGCATTGCCTATAGTTGAGAGTGCAAAAATATTGGGTCTTGTTATGACAGGCACACTTCAGTGGAAAGATAACATCAGAGAGAGTATAAAGAAAGCTAATAAACGCCTCTATTTTATAGTATTATTGAAACGGGCAGGCGTAAATGTCAAAGATGTTTTGAACTTTTATTGTACAGTGATCAGGCCTGTGCTCGAGTATTGTGCGCAAGCCTTCCATCATTCCATTCCAAAGTATTTGGCAGACGAACTTGAGACTGTCCAGAAACGTGTGCTAAAAATTTTATCTCCTGAAATGACATATTGTGAGGCCCTTGGTATTATAGACTGCCTACTCTATTTCAAAGAAGAGAGGACATGTGTGACAAACTCTTTACGAGTATCATCAAGGATCCAATGCATAAACTTTATCATCTGCTGCCCCCGAAGAACGAGACTGATTATTCTTTCAGGACGAATCGGTATTTTAATATGTACGTTACACGCACGAACCGCTTTTATAACTCTTTTATCCCTGCTATGTGTAGGAAGTTTGTAGGATAGATTTTATGCTTATTTTAATCGAATTTTGATCGTGGGTGGGTTTTATAATATTGTATTAATAATATTTTATATGTAGTGCATGTGATAATATGTAATCCACGCAATTCAGCTTCTGGCTGCAATGTGGTTTCAATTTAATAATAATAATAATAAAAGACCAGGTCGGTAGCTTGGTGGGATACGCCCAGCATCGGTATTTGGAAGAGTGATGGTTACAAGTGTCTGCGTTGACAACAAGGTTGATTCTTTACGGGTCCACGATGGCTGTTAGCCAGGGTGGGCCATGCAACCAGATCGTTGAGGATCGAAGTTGATTTGAAGTGATTCCTCGGGTTAGCAGATCGGCTGGGTTGTCTGAGGTGGGACAGTAGTGCCAGGAAGAGGCAGGATAAAGTAGCTTGATCTCTTTCACGAAATTCGCTACGAATTGTGGTAGTGACTTCTTACTGGATAACCAATGGAGAACTATTTGACTGTCAGACCACAAATGAATGTTCAAGTTGGGGAATCTTTTCTGCAGGGTGTTTTGAATGAAGTGAGTCAATCTTGCAGCGATTAAAGCAGCCATGAGTTCCAGTTGAGGGAGTGTTCGTGTCTTGAGAGGGGCAACACACGAGTTTTTGCCATAACAAACGAGGTGTGGTTTTCTCGTTGCAGGAATGCTACTGCACCATATGCAACTGTGCTGGCATCGCAGAACACGTGTAAATGGATGTTGCCTTCTTGTTTCGCTGAATCGGAAAGGTATTGTCTTGGCAGGGCTGCACACTCCTTGACCGACTCTTCGATATCTTCAGCGATGCTTGACCATGTTCGTTGGAGGCCTTCATCAACAGGTGTGTCCCAGGGGAGTTTTCTACGCCACAGATCTTGCAATAGAATTCGGGTTCTCACTGTCACAGGTAATAGGAGGCCAAGCGGATCATAAACCTTTGAGGATAGTTGCAGGATTTTGCGTTTCGTTGTTGGTGCGTTTGGGTTGAAACTACCACTGTTCTCTACTAAGGTAAGCTTGTCAGTCCTGGGTTTCCATTGAAGACCAAGAATGTTGACACTCTCGGATTTCTCGTCGGTAGAGTCATCTGCTGCGCGTGCTTGGAGCAATGGACTGTTGCTCGACCAAGAACGTAAGTTAAAGTTTCCTTGACTCATGATAGATCTTGCCTCATCGTAGTAATTGATAGCCTCAGCTTCAGTATCACATCCAGAGATCAGGTCATCAACATAAAGATTCTCCTTCATATCTTGGGTAACAGTGGTGTTGTGGTTGTCTAGATGGCAGTGCAAGGTGGTATTAAGCATGAATGGGAAACTGACAGAACCAAATAGGACAACTTTGAAGCGGTATGTGATGAATGGACTTTCAGGATCACTGGGATTGGATAACCAGAGGAAACGAGTAAAATCTCGATCCTGTTCGTTGAGGCGTACGTGAAGAAAGGCCCTCTGTGTGCGAAATTAAAACGTAGAAGGATGGAACACATATCAGTCAATAGTGGAGGTCCAGTCTGCAGGCAATTGTTCAGGCTTGGGGCGTTGGTCGACTGTCAGCAGCTGCAATCGTAGACAATTTTTACTTGTGTTGTGGAGGAGTCCTTGACGACAGGGTGGTGTGGTATATAATGCAGGTTTCGACCATTTTGTTGCGGTTGAACTTGCTCGATGAATCCGCGTTTCTCTTGATAGGTGTCTCAAGGATCTCTCCATAGGTGTTGAGGAGATCAGGTGTTTGGGCTAAGCGACGAGCCAATGATCTTGTTCGACGTTCACATACCTTGTAATTTGAGGGAAGGGGAAGATGGTCTTTCTTCCAGGGAAACGCAGCAGTGTAAGCACCGTCCTTATCACGTGTAATAGATGTACTTTGATACTCTTGTGCCTGGTTTGCATGCTCATCGTTGAGGGTAGGGGGTGCAATTCCTAGTGACTCGACTGTCCAGAACCGTTGAAGGTCAAACTGTTCTTCATTGTGGCTAATCATCACATTCAGGATTCGAGTTGAGGGCATGAATGGTGTGTTTGAATTAATTGGACCCGAGAGTAGATATCCCAACTTCGATTTTACTGCTACTGGTCCATCACCTCTCACAGTCTCATCTTGCACGATTTGCCAATATATAGTAGTCGACACCAATGAGAAGGGAGATCTCAAACCTGTCATCAGAAGAGACTGGGTGGGCTAGTTTAAGACCTTTGAGGTATTTCAAATTAGGCACAATAGATGGTAAATGGTTTTGAATTGGTGTGGCTATGTCGGAGACCACTAAAACATCCAAGGATAACGTCTCTTCAGAATCTGTGATGAGGTGAATGGTGACAACGTCGAGTTGTCGTACTGCTGGGGTAGCTGCACCGAAAGCCAATAGATGGATGGTTTCTTTTCTTGTTGGTTCTAAGTGGAGTTTGTTGACCAGATTTTGTTGTATGAAGGATCGCTGTGCACCTTCGTCGAATAGAATGTTCGCTTCTGCCTTGAATTTTGGACTACTTACTGTGGTAATCGCCGTCTTTAACAAACAAGTTGAACCACAACCCAAATTAGTGTTAGTTGAGTTAATGGACGTTAGGAAGATAGGAGTGACTGTGGCATGAACTGATGGTTCCTTTGACTGGTCAGCGGTTGCACAATTCTGTTTCTGGTCTGCATCATTTGGTTTCGCATTGCACAGACTTGTGTGATGCTTTCGTTTATAGGCTTGGCAACGGTGCAACGACTTGCATAGTGCTACCCGATGGCGTCCCAGGCAATCAAAGCAGCGATTTTCTTTCTTTACAGTCTCATGACGTTTTTGAGGGTCAGTGATAACTTTGCATGATGTGGGATGATGTTTTCCATTGCAATAGAGGCAGGATAAATCCCCTTTGGCACGGGCTGGAGATCGCGGAAATTTGGGGGGAGGAGATGGGGGCAGGATGTGTGATTGGGTGTGGAATGATGACGTAACAGTAAAGTTTAATTGTTGGTTATCTTTAGCATGCAAATTAACAAACTGGCCGGCCTCTAAAATTCTTAGTTCCTTTTGAATGGCACTTCGCAATTGATCAATTGTCCAGTCTAATGTTTCATGCTCTCGCGCTAAATTCTTTCGAAACTCGTTAGGTAATTTTCCCAGTATAATGGGTACTAAAAGATCACCATATGTATCTTGACCTTTGCCAATTGAGGCACGTCCTCGAATATGCGTTTCTAAAGTGTCATAAAACCCTTGAAAACTGTCCAGTTGCTCGGTTGGGGCCGGGATTTCCAATAAGGCTTGCATGTGCGCATTAACAATTTTATGCGGCTGTCCAAATCTTGCCTTGAGGAGGTTAACAGCTTGCTCATAGGTGTTGTTAGTCAGGGGAAATCCTGTTATAGCTTGTAAGGCGTCTCCCCTAAGTTGGGCTTTCAAATAGTTAAAACGTTGTACGCCATTGAGAGAGGAGTTGCTGTGTACGGCACTGTCGAATGAGTCCCAAAAGGACTGCCATTGAAGGGGGTTTCCAGAGAATACTGGAAGACTCAGTTTTGGGAGTCGACAAGTATTTTGCGACAGATGACTAGTGACTGTTAGTTGTGGGCTAGAGGGAACTACGTTGATAGGTGAGGGATTACTTGGACTTTGGGGAGTAAATGGTGATGCATTTGGATTAACTGTTGTTGGTGGGGACATGTGAGGATTATCTTGCATGTGTTCTTGCGAGTTTTCTTGTGATGCGACTTGTTGAGGGTGTTCATACATGGGTTCTTGCGAGGGTTCTTGTGTTGTGTTTTCTTGCAGGGTTTCTTGCGTTGTGTTTTGTTGCGGGTTTGAACTTGCTGTGGAGAGGTGACTTAATTCTTGGGTATGACTTGATAAAGAAGATATTTCAATGTACTTACGTATTTGGCTGATGTTCTCTTCTAAGTCGTAATTTATCTCGTCGGATTCAAATATTTCAGCTTCAAGTCCCTTAGGATCTTTTATTTCTGCGGCAATCTTCGCGTCTAGTTCCCCTATAATGTCCTTTTTCTTCGTTAATTGTTCGAGTGCTGTATTCAAACTCGCTAGCGCCATATTTCTGTCTGTATGCGTCTCAGTGTTTAGAACTTCGTTTGCCTCCTTTAAAACCTTTGTTACGTGTGCTTTGTGTCCCCTTCGTGAGGCCTGTAGTCGAGCGATTTCTTCCATGTTCGAATTTAGCTGGTCACGGCACCAAATAATGTCGAGAAAGACAACCTTTAGTAATATATTTATTGTAAACTGCTCGATAAACATACATTTTGTGAAAAACTAACTTCAACCATACTTCAACAACGTGCCTAAAACGTTCATCTGAGTCCACTGTCCGACCGCTGGCACTATTGACGAATACTTAATGTAATGAACAATATACTAATATACTCTAAATGTTTCTAATTCACGACACCAAGTTCATCTATATGTATAAATGTTTATATACATGCTCACTTGGATTATCTACCAAGCCCGGCATTCAGATACAGATATCATATTGGATAGAACCAGAAAACCTTTCCAATGTAATGCCCTATTGGCTGATCTGGGAAAGTGTTTCCAAAACCTGAATTGTTGAAAGATTCAATTTTCTTAATTTTTTCAACTATGCTTACCATATTTACTGCCAAATATACATCAAAACCTCATTTGCTGCCAAACACACACCAAAGCATGCTTTTGGGAGTACTTTGGCCAATTGACCCTTCTGATGCAAGCATCTCATTGTTTTGACCGAGTCAAGTTGTATTTCCTGTTTGGACGAGCGCTATTGACACGCTACAAACTGAAATATCAAAATATAAGACAAAAATCTGAAGAAACAATACAAGCTTTTCTGAAGGTTTTCTCAAAAAACTGACATAACTTTTTTCATTGCCACAATCGTGAACGCGGAGAGTTCTAAAAAATGATAACTCTCTAACATCTTCATAATGTTAAGAAATTGGGTGTGGTCGTTGGGAAAACGGTCGACAGGGGCGTAGAAACGGGTCGACAGGGGCGTAGGAACCGGGGGGCAAGCCCCCCAAGCCTTCAGAAAGTGCCCTTTTTCCGGTGGCAAAATGCCCTTTGCCCTTCCGTGAAAAATGTTGTTCAGATTGCATTTTTTATGATTACAATTATTTTTCCTTCAGAAAACACAAAAAAATGCTCACTTTTCGGTGACAAAGTGCCCTTTGCCTTTGTGAAAAATGTTGTTCAGCTTGCATTTTATACAATTGCAATTATATCTCCTCCTTCCCCCCTTTCCCTCCCCGTCGCCAACATTTCCGGGAAAATTTTTTCAGGTGCCCTTTTCATTCCAAAAGTGCCCCTCGAAACCGCCCCCCCCCCATCTTTTAATGCTTTCTACTCCCCTGCTCTCCGAAATCATAATTCTCCGAGATAACTGTCCGGTTGGTAACCGGTTTAGTCATACCCACAAAATACCACGAAAGCGACAAAATTAGCATTAGTTACAAACTTTCAATACGTATTTAAAAAATAACTGCAAGAAAAAGATACTTTAGGCTTTAGCCGAGATATTAAAACAATTTTACGCCGAAGTTGGAAAAGAAGATGGCACATCTTACAGCAAAAACACCCTCAACAGCTTTAGTCAGAACAGATCATGAGACCAAATATTGACGCTGTTTCTAAGATAGTTACGTGTTATTTTTGCTAAAACATCATGATGGTATTATTTACAGTCATGTTTGTAAAACCTTTGCGTGTTGCATGGAAAACATTTCCGCGATGCACCTAGTTTCATTATGTTTTTTTGACGACTTCCTCTGTCGCGCGTCATTATTGCCATTCATAATTCCGAGTAATTATCAAACTTATTAACAATTCATGAACCACCTACAAAAGAAATCACGTTCACGCAACGACAATAAATATCTGCATGACCATGCACAACTTGACGCCGTTTCGGTATACAAGTACATACTATCCAGAACATAGTTAATTAACGGACCGTTACTCAAGTACTGACACGTTCAATAAAATATTGATTGTCAACTTATTTAAATCAGGTAGGTTAACAGAGCGACTCATTAATTTCATGTGATTGGTTAATAGTAGCGATAATGGAAGTCATGCAAAATCTGAACCTTTATATTGACTTCTACTACCGCTATACCTGTACATTAACCAATCAGATGCGTTCAATCTATTTGACTTAACCAATCAAATGCGTATTATATTAAACTAGTGAAAGATAGCGGTAGTGCGGGAAGCCTCTGAACCCCTCTACTAACTTCCCGGTCTAACTTTCACCAGTCTTATCAGTCAGACCCATTGCCAATTTATAGTTCAATGGTCAGACCAAATCTGAGTTCAATGTGGAAAAAAGTCGCGAAAATAAAAGGCATAAGCAAAAAAAGTCGCAAAAAATAAAAAAGTGGTTGGATGTCATCTCTAAACCACCGAATGTATGTTAAAATCCGAAATTGTGGCTGGCAATAGCATTTTGACGACAGTACCAGACTGAACAGAGGTTACAGAAGGGTGTAGATAAAAGGCAACCTCGTTGGATAAAAGGCGGACGGATAAAAGGCGGACGGATAAAAGGCGGACGGATAAAAGGCGGACGGCAGAGCATTTTATAAACACATATAATTACTACCTCAACTAGCCTCACATCTGCAGTGCTCAGCTCACAATCAAATTTTCGAATTCCTTAGAAAAAGCTCGAAAATTCCTCAGATTTCCTTAAAATTCCTTAAATTGGTAAAATTACTACACTTAGCCGGACCTGGTCACACAGTTGAAAAAGTGTTTTTTCTCCTTTTTTGCTGTTTTTCATACGCGGGGGACGCCGACGTAACAAAAACACACCCTAAGTTCACACCCAAAAATTATGGATTCGTTTCGTAAACTGCGGATCAAATGAAAAACAAATTTAAACTGGTGCACGTATAAAACATAATATAAATTGTGGTCTCCGGTCACGTCCGCATACTAGATTAATCACATCTTAACTTAAGCTTCCTATTATCATTGTTATAAATGCCAATGGCTGAATACAGCGAGCAAAGCGCTAGCCGCGTGGTAGTACAGCAGTAATTATTATTATTATTATTAATATTATTATTATTATTAAAAATCTTATTTTACAACGGTTATCCTTCAACACGCCTAGGTTGTTGATTTCCAAGGAGATCATCAGATCATGCCAATCAGATTGCAGAATGGCTCATACATATACGGTGAATGACTGTATATTATATCAATTAAAAGTTATATATATATATATATATATATATATATATATATATATATATATATATATATATATATATATATATATATATATATATATATATATATATACTATTCATATTCATAAATTTCTAAACAATAAATATAACTGCCTTTCCTATAGCTGAGTGCCGAACTTTTCATGGTGAACGTGACAGGATGAACAGAATTTATTATGATTATTGAAACTCGAAGACTGCATGTCTGCATGGTCATATGTTTTTACTCATTGTTTTCAGTTCAGACTTCACATTTTCATCGCACAACCAGTCAACCATATGTGATTTATCTTTTGACCTTGGGTTATTGCAATGCCAATATGCCACTGATACTATGGTGTCTTCTAGTATAGTGTATATGCATGTAATGTAGCTACAATACTTTCAAGTTAAAATTTAATATCCAGGTGATTTAGGTTAATAGGCTCCCGCCCAACGCGCGAAAAATAGACTCGGCAACGCTCAAAACTAACGACAAAGGTAGTAGTAACGCATTTGTTATCAAATTTCAGGGAGGAGAACGATGAAATTTCCAATAATACTTAATTAATCAGGTCTATTGTGTAAAGAGGATAAAAATAATCCCACCCTCAGTGTTTTAACTTATGGTGAGTGATATAAATTTAATTATGTGCCTTATCTCTCAATCTTCAGACAGTTTAGCGGATAAATCCGGGTGCCTTCTTTCAGTTCTGTGCTTGACACCATGGCGAGAATGTAAAAACTGTCATGCATGGCTATGATTGTTCAAAGTTCCGAGTGTGCATATAAAATCGCGGAAACAGCTTCTCTGTGGGTTGTTTGCAAATTAAAAGTAAAGAAAAATGAATAACAATCATAAAATATAATTAGTCGGAAAAGGAACTGAAAAAGAGGAAGCGTGTTGAGACAAACTGATTTCTATTTTGTGGTTCGCCGATTATTAAATGATTAATTTTCATAAATTAAAGCAACTGAAAGGTCATAAATCATAATGTATTGTGTGGAGTCCTAATCAACAGTTTCATAGCTTCATGAAAAGTTGGAAGTTTGAACTAGGCTCAATCTGCCCCCGAAGTACTTGGCTCGTTTCGGTGCTGGGAACAGTTTAGCCGTTTGGGAACTGTTTAGCCGTTTGTGAACTGTTTAGCCGTTTGTGAACTGCCCACTGAAATTTTTTGGCCGCACCCGAGATCTCATCGAATAACCCCCCCCCCGCCTCGTTTCTGGTTATTAATTATAAATTCTTTGTAGATGTGACAGAATTAATTATTATAAAATATGTAAATCAGAGAATCCAAGTGTAAGAAAATCATCAATTATGTCAACCAAATGATCTAAATCTCGTGTTTGCAGGGACCGCGGAACGGGGTGGGGGGAGCCATGGTCCCCCAACTTTTTCGGTGGAAAATAAAAAATTACCGGATAAAATCCAGCCTGCCTGCGTGAGATACCTCCCGTGCTATCCTGCCCCCCCCCCCCACTTCAAAACAGGCTCCGCGGTCCCTGGTTTGGAAACGACGCTATCGCTATCGGGTGAAATACGACGAATGCAAGAAACCCAAGCACAAAATATTCATAATGGAAGAAGATAACTGTTTAGTCCTAATTCAGTTAGCTGAATCATCACAATCCAAATTGGGAAGCTTTTTTGTAAATACATGCGCAGCTACATCAAATGGCTCTCCATGCAGTTGACTGAATCCGAACCCAGTGGCCGAGTGTATGGCAGTGAGCTGAGAGGAATCCAATGCCTTGCAAGTGAATAATGTAAATGTCCACTGTCCAGCCCGCAGTAAGTCAGCACCAAATCAGTCAACTGTTATAAAGTAAGTGAAAGAAGATGTAACGCTCGTGGACGAAAATATAAACGAATTAACCAAGCAAAAAGCCATCACATGCAGTCCTGGATGAAAATATTATTAATGAGTCAAACAAGCAAGCGATAAGTAAGTTGAAGAACCAATTCAAGTTCCGGATGAAAACCCTGATGATGAATGGTCGTTGACCAAACAGCGTCGGTGTTTTTTGCCGTCAACAGCGTTGTCCAAGAACTTCCAAGTCCAGTGGTCCGAATCAGCCCATTATATCAGAACATCCAGCCAAAATCGGTTTGGAAATGAATCATACCCCCGGCGACTTAACCCTCACTAGCTGCACAAAAAGTATCCATGCATAACTCATGAAGTTGACTGAGAAAGACCAGTGTGTGTATGCATGCCTTTCCTGCAGAGATTTCAAAAATTATGATTCGTTAATTTTCGTTTGCCTTTAATAATTGGACAAAACCAGAAAAACTCTCCAAACATGGAAGATCTGAAAAGCACATAATTAACATTAAAGTTGTCCGGGCAGGTGTAATTTGCAGAATGCAGTGAATGCAGAATGCAGAACGCAACTTCTGTACTTTCGCCGTACGTAAAAACTGTCCGAAAGGGTAAGAGTTAGTTGGGGTTATGTTCCTAACCTTGTAAAAGCTGAGCGAAAGTATAGAAGTTGCTTTCTGCATTCTGCAAATTACACCCGCCGTAAGTTGGCCAGTTTAATTATTGTTTATATAGCCAGTCAGAAATCGGGCCGGGAACACAACTGTCTTAGAGAAATCATCAAACACTACAAACGGCATGCTCATATAGGCAGTAAGTAGTATAGAAACCGACAATATTACAGACATGCATGTTTCCAGGATATATGTGTATAGAGGATAGCCGAATTTGACCGATTAGAGGAAATAGATAATTTTCTTGAGTTATATATACTGCAATTTAGATGCAATGATTTAATTTGCCGTTGCTGAAGTCAGAAGCTTAGTCAAAGCCAAAGGTTGTCAAAGCCAACTTGAAGCAATGAAACACAGACGCCCAGTGGACCGATTGCCAAAAGTTAGTCAGCCGGAATGAACTAATTCTCCCTTCGGTTGTTGGAGTTGTGTAGAAGGCAACGATAGTCATGTAGAAGGCAGCAAAAACGTACCTTAATCCTTATACTACTTGTTATAGACATGGTGTCACTTGCTACACTGGCCATGCACTGTTCCTAACTTCACTTGTCATTCTCTTTAGACTCTTTAGCACCATGTTCAAAACAGTTGCATCGGGAAAGACGGAAAAGTGTCATTTGATGCGCTCCACTGGCACTGCTATGTTCTTGAAGTACCGGCGGTCAGTATCACAACTGACACAACTGCATGCACGACAACATGTCAACATTATCTGAACAAAGCTCTTCAAGAGATGAAGTCACGTCGTTTTGAGAGTAATGATCTAGATATTCTAAATCTATAATCTATATATACCATATGTGCCTATAGTCGGCCGACTCGATGCCATGGCGATATCTGTAGTTTCAACGCAGTCCCCATCTGACAAAACCTGGCATTGCCATTGGTATACTTTTTTTACACGTTGGAAAATGAGATCCTTAGGATTAGGTGAAACTAAAGAATATATTACCGAAATATATTCAATATATGCAGGGACGCCGGAACGATCATAAGGCAAAGGGGGGCGGACCCACAGCAAGGGCACTTCTCTAAAGAAAACCTTGAAAATCTCACGATTTTTTTTTTTTCATCAAAAAATTTCGGCGATCCCCCCCCCCGTCGCCAAAAAAATTTCGGTCAGTGTACCATTTTAGGGGTCCAAAATTTTTTCCGGACATACCGTTAGTGAAATATAAACTGTTAATGTCTGAATCTCATAATTTTCGGACAAAAACCATCGTTCTAAATGTGATTTATCACGTAATTTTTTAAAACTAAAAGGGCACTTCTGCCCCCCCTGCCCCCCCTGGCAAAAGGCAGGGGGGGCAGCCGCCCCCCCTGCCCCCCCAGTTCCGGCGTCCCTGAATATATGTCTTCTCGGAAAGGTACCTATGGCTATATACAATGGGCAATAGCATGTTAGTGACTTTAATAGTGTTGGGAAATAGCCGTTGTTCAGGTTGAGTTTGTTCCACGATGGATAATATATTTAAGTCTCTCTCGTTCAATGACAATGTATCATGGAAAGTATGATTGATATTTTTGCAGTCGAAACAGCATATTTTTTCCAGAAATCATGCCTGGATCAATATAAATTTTTATTATCAAAACGTTTCGAAACGACGAAACAGACCAAAAGTGCAAGGTAAAAATTTTAACGTTACCGGCCCAACCGACCCCGGTAGACAAGTTTGGTCATGCCTCATGGGAATACTTTTAAAATACTCTTAATTAAATTCTTATTAATTATTAATTAATAATTAAATTCTTATTAATTTTAAACTATAAAACAGAACAGCCTTCACTTCACCATAGATTAAGACTTCACTGGGGGCGAGGGCAAAATAGTTCACTGGAGGGGGCACTTTATATGTTGAAAGGAAATTCTACAGACTAATATAAACACAAAGTTTGATCACGTTCATCTGCTCGCCCACGCACAACACTTCAGACCTGATGACGTATCAACCGTAATCTCGGCCGGAATAGAAGGCAAAGGTGAAGCATCACTCGTTGGGGTTTTTGGCTCAAGTACAGTATTGTAGTTATTATCACAAAGGCAAGGATCTGGTGTTTCTGGACCATCTGTTACTTCCAAACTTCTCAAAATAAAATAAAGCAAGGTAAGTCGACGTAAATCGCGTTGGGATTTGTTGTGTCGCATATATAATACCACATGGCAAGCAGGCATGTTCAAATAATATCACGAGACGGGAAGAGGAAGCGTTTATAAAGATATCTTGTGTTGGTTTACTTCATTAGGACACAGAATAATGGTCAGTAATCGTACGCGTATATTTAATTCTTGTTCTGTACTATTTTATACCGATACGAAACATAAATAAACGAGATTTCCAACTCGACAGGCATCCACGTATTCTAGGCCATTCTATTGTATTGTTTTGAATACTTGGGATGCATATCAAATTTGTCGTGTCGAAATTGTCTATATTTCGCAACAAGGGCTGAGTTTTAGAAACTCGAACAGTATTTCCCAAAGTGAAGTATTCGGATTTCGTAACGACAAAAGGTATTTTTTGATCAGATATATTATATAACCAATATTCTATTAGACGTCATTGAAATACGTGCATAGAATTGTATACATTTACATCATGTAGCATTGTAGCTGAATAATTCTAATTCATATTGACCTTATATATAATGATATTTAAACTGTTACTATTACTGTAAAGGTGTGGAAAACCGGTTCAATCCTGGTTCAAAGATGTGTAAAATATATTTGTTGTGTATACACTCGGTATGTAAGCTGCCATGCAATGTTGGCATCATGTGGACAACAATATTACCAGCCAACATCGATAATCTTAATCGTTGATTGATGAAATACTGTATTAAAAACCCATTCCATGGTTTCCTAATAACATTGGTCGCTCTATTTTTGTTGCTCATTACTGTGAGTTTTATGACAAGTTTTAGGCTATTGATGTCATCTTGGGCATCAAGTTCAACCATCTGGGTTAAAACAATTCTAAATTGTAACATACAGTTGATAGTCATTGGAACGTTCCCCTATTTACTGAAGAGTTGATCCTGTTGTTACAAAACAGAATACAGGTACAGAGACTGAAGACACTGAAGTCTTCTTAACCCTTTGTGAGAATACTAGTGTTTCTCCTTGACCCAGTCTGCATTTTTGTATTATTTACCTTGACAATTAAAAATGATCTGCCGTTAAACAGAAGTAAAATAATAAACATACCACTGTATATACAATACAATACAATACAATACAATTTTATTCAGTACCGGTAGTAATACATACATAAATATAAAATAAAGATAAAGCTGTGGTGGTTCCTTCGACCCATTTCTTGTCCTAATACGACCACTGGTGGTCATAATGTATATATGTCACTGATGTCAGTCATAAAAAATATAGACTTGCTGCACAAGAAGTATCCTGCAAGCAAATGTAAGTCATGGAGAAAATATCCTGCACAGACTTGATCATAAAATAAAATACCCTGCATGTTGTTGTCATTTCAGAAATCGTCCATACCTCCCCTTGGAAATTGGAAGTTAACACCCATATGTCCTAATACACGTACAAAAAACAGAAACCAATTTTCCTTCCCTTTCTCTCTGGATGGCATAAATTTCCTCTGTGGGGGGAGTGTAGATCTTTTTGGGAACAATTCATTGTGCCCCAATGTACACTTTTTTATTTTTCTGTATCTAATGCCAGACATGTCAAAGGGAGGATGCTGGCATTCAATTGGACCATTTTGTCCACATGAAATGTTGCTCTAAGAAGTTCACAATGTGGCAGTATACCTAATGTTTTAAAAATTGTTTTATTTGTGCAGCAGATAAAGAACTGTTTAGCTGTGGAGGGGTGGAATCAAGTTGTTTCAGTGTAATAGAGTATTTAATGGAAAAATATGTGATATAATATACATTTTTAAATTAAACTTAAACAAAGTGGTGTTCAGCAGCGGCTGTGAGTATCAAGTGAAAGTTCCTGAAGGATATATACACTGTATATATATTTTTCTTTTGATACTCTATTTAATATACTGAAACAATTTGATGCCAAAATTGGACTCCTGTGCTGAAACTATGGGTATCGGCCGAGATCGAAGCTATCAGTAGTCCTCAGCATGAAAAGAGCAGTATTGTGAAAATGACCAAAAAAATAGTAATGAGTAAAAATTACAATTACTTTTTTGAAAACGTCAATAACCCACTCACAGACTTTTCACAGCACTTGTAATTGTAATGCATTTTTTATTATAATAATATTTTAACAGGGAGCCCATATCTCCAAGGAGTTTTTCAATGAGGCCCTGCATAGATAAATATTTAAAATATTTTGAAATATATATAATATCTATATACGAGTAGAAATTATATGCAGTGAAGTAGATTATTAATTAACACAAACTATTAGAAAATCGATATGTTAATATTTAGAATTAATGTTGTAAGATGTTTTTCAGACTAACTTTAAAAAAAATTGGCTCACGATTCCAAATGCTGCACTTCTAATGCAAGGCTGAAGTAAATCATTCCCCTCACTTAAGGAATGGTAGCAACAATGTTGCTTGCCCCAATCCGTCTTCTACCAGTCTAGAGTTGTAAAAGTCTAAAATTGCTAAACAATATTAGTCTATAGTAAATTAAAAATTAACTTACTTTATATAGCAGACTAACTTGGAATATTCAGTAGCATATTCACAAGAAAAACCCAACACCAGTAAAATCAGTCACAGATGTAGTACTGCATTGTCAACATAAACAGGGATGTGCCGACCGATATGTCTTTGGGGGGGGGGGGGTGAACACAAAAGTTGGCCCCCTTCCTTTTGGGGGGTGAACTCAAACGTTTGGCCCACCAAAACATTTTCCGGACAATGTTGCCAATTGTGAGTGGGGGGAGGGGGATGTATACATTTTCTGGTACAAAAAGGTTCCAAAACAAAAGCAGGGTAAAAATATGTTTTTCCGAATTTTTCGACCTCAATTTTTCACAATATTCCTAAATAACGGTAACAATAAGTAACATTTTGGTATTTTAACGGTAAATCTTTGAAAAGTGTTCTGAAACAATAGACAGTATTTTTTTCCCTCACGATTCTCGCTAAATTTTTAGTGTTTTCACGACTGACGGTAACCGAAATTGAGTGAATCACGACTCACAATATAACCCATCAACACCCTCTGAATACACTACAGTGGCGTGCTGGGTACTATTTTTCTGTGGGGCAGTGGGCTATCAACCAATATGCGCCCCTATAATGTTACGCTTGATAAACAAGGGTCGAAGGCACAAGCCGAGTGCCGCAGGTGTGAGGTTGGTCTAGGGGGGTTGTGGTCAGAAAACGGCATTATAACGTGTCGAAATTTGCAATTTGGTTAGAATTTAGTAGTAGTACTTAAATTGGGCAAATATGCTAACTACTTCCAGTGATTAATCTAACCCCAATTGTATTTTCTACTGATCTGAATACATTTATAACTTACATCTCTTTTATACAAGGACCCCACGCATGTGCATTTTAAGGTTTCCTTGCCTGGCTGCCAAAAGGGCGCGTTTTAGCATTATTACTTACATTACTCATGAGTCATGATGTTTCTTGCGCAAATAATGAGACAAATGGCCTGTGATCACTGATCATGTTTCTATATGAACGATTTTGTTTGAGCCGTGAGGTAGCAAATTAGCAAATACGGTTAGACAAAATAGTCTGTAATTTAATATAAAGCCCATCTTGGCAGAAGTAACTATATTTTTTCAAATGCGTTTTTTCCCACCCACTTTCAAAATTCGGCGCGGAATCGCGGCGCCCCCTTTTAATTTTTGTGCCCTTCAAGAATTGCCAGCTGCCCCCAGCACGCTACTTATACACTATACACAAATAACACAATCTATTTAAAAACTATATATTTCCAAGTTGATTCGAAATACACAGTCTTTAAATCGATTCTGTATAATGTATTCTTGCACACGTTTTCGTGAATAACATTGAGTTTGTATTTGTTTGAACACACTGAATAAAGAATATTTTTCGGGTCAAAATGTCATTATCTACCCCTACATGCTGACATGCTCATTACAAAATTCTGCCCTTTTCGTAATTTCGTTTTGGAAAATTAGTTAATTTCGGTTTCGTTTCAAATAAACTTTCGAACGTTTGCGTTTGTAATTGTTGTCGAATATCGATATATACGTATGAATGAAAACGTAACAACGTAACATCTGTTGGCGCCACTGTTATGGTTGGCGCGCGTTTGAGTTTCTTTGTCCAATCAGCGAACTGATTTTGTACCACGTGTCTCGAGAATTACCATATTCGGGAGGAGAAATGTTACTTTCGGCCGCTGCTTCGTTTATATTTTTGGAAAATTAGCGCCATGTTGGTTTTTACAAGTGATATTTTAACGAATTATAAACATACATTTCTCTCTTCCAGTGTGAAGATCGGATTGATTTAATCAAGTACAATGCTCTTGATAAAAAGAATGAGTAAAAGAGTATATACCGTGGTGTATTTTATCGTTATTGCTGTGGTTTGTGAATGGTGTAAGGCAAACGGTGCGTAAAATTTCTACGTTTGTATTGCTGTTGTTTTGTTTTGTAGTGTCTTCCTATTTATTTCAATTGTTTGCTTTAGTGAATCTTGTAATAAAGTAAAGCAAATCATGTTTTATGTGAACAGTTAAACCATAATTCATTGCTTTAAATCATGAAATATACTGTCTATTAAATATCTTCGTTTTATTCAAGCAGATATTCTAATATTGTAGTTTTCGTTGCGTATCAACTGTCTTTGTTATGATGTCTGGAAGCACAACAGTCAAGTTCGGTAGTTTGTTCGACTTATATTTTAATCCTTGATGTTTTGATTTTCTATAGACTACATCTGTAAACCAGATCAAGTGCAATTTAAATGTCAAAAAGATGGCAACTGCATTCCAAAGACGTGGGAATGCGATGGCGAAGATGACTGCTCAGACGGTTCTGATGAAATGAAATGTGGTACGTATATCTTGCACTTTACACTATTTTTTGTCAATAAAAGTGCTCGTCTATTAAAATACGGTTTAGAATAAAAATATATGTTTAGTGTAATAGTCAACCGTAGACTGTAGTAACTGTAATAGTAAACTCGTAGTAACATGTCGCTAATCGCCATCCATCATTTGTTTACGTTTTGTTTGTATGATTAATAATTCATGTCGCTACAGAGTAAAATATTTCATCGCGCTTTTCGTTTGGAGTTAAATTACAGTATGTTAAGGAAGTCTTGTACTATAAATTTGTATTAAAAGGAAAAAAAAATTTACAGAAGAGCACAAAACATTATTCGAATAAAAGCACTGTAAATATATATTTGACTTTTGAGGCTGTCATCTGTGATGCCATTGAGGAAAAAATATTCTGGGGGCTCGTTTACGGTAAGAATTTCCCCATAGGGTTTATCTAAAACTGGTTTTTCACATGGGAACTGGAAGTTATTGGGAGATTTGAATTTGATGACAAATCCATTATGGATACCATAAATGGATTTCTAAAGGCCGATTAGACTAGTAAGGGACGGACCATTAGAAAAGTGATGGGGGGGGGAGGGATTTTCTAAGAGGCAATATTTTTTTTTTGTACACCTATAGAAGAAATATTTTTTTCTCACTTGATGGTGGAAATATTTTTTTTTACAGTAATTACAGTAATTTTTTAGTCAAGTAAGTATTGTTTACATTTTTTTGTTATTGTCGCTACTTGACATGCGCACCACAGTATGCATGCGTTTTCTTGTGTGCGAAAGTACTCGTACTCATGGATACTGCATGTAAGATACAGCCAAACGAATCTCCGTGGAGTCCCCTACTTAAGGTGGCTTTTGACTAAAAAGTGACTGTAGGGCCCCTTTAAGTGAAATTTATAGGCCTATTAGTGGTGTAGTCCTGGGGCCGGTTGTTCAAAGCTGGCTTAGCGTAACCCTGGGTTAACCTAAAATTCAAAGCAAACTTCCTCACAGCTTGTCTATAAATTTGGAAATATTTCTTCAGAGATCTTGTCTGGATTGATAGGAGTTTACTTCTCTGAAGTTTTGAAATAAACGGATGTGCAGAAATACATAAACAAAACATTTGGTTAAATTTTAACCCAGGGTTAGCGCTAACCCACCTTTGAACAACCGGCCCCTGGAATGTTAACAAGGGGGGCTCTCCAAAGTGCCCTGAATTGGCGGGAGGCGAGGGGAGGTACAATAAGATATTTTGGAAATTCTAAATTTTGTTGGGGTTTGTTCCAGTAATTCTGAGACAAACATTTGACGTTATTCTTATTAAAAACAAGCCGAAGCGAGGGCTGAAGGCCCAAGGAAAATTTTAAATTTAGAGTCTGGACTTTGGGGAAGATTTGACAGAATTCTGATGGTCAGAAAACAGCGTTTTAGTATGTTGAAATTTACAATTTAGTGGTACTAAATGGGCGAAGGCGTATTTAACTATATATTGGATAAGTTGCAGGAAATTTATATGGGTAATATCTTCATTCTTTGCAGTTTGTCATGATGGATAATGTAGCAGCTTAAAATTAATCAATTGTCAGTGTTTTAAAGTTATATTATTTAAATGTATTGAGTAGCCACAGATTTGTCCTTGGCACATATGGTAAAGACTCTACAATTTTTGAGCCTCTGACCGTATAGTGATGACGTAAACTTTATATAGGTCTATGCACCGAGGGGACTGACCTAACCTTGGCAGCCTACTTGCAGTGGGGGGCGGTGAGCTAACCTGTGCCTTGCCCGCGGTGGGAACAAGTGCTGCCTGCTCTCTCAGACAAAATGTCTCTTCACCCTGCTGACGAACGTTAGAGGACACATGACACTCAGCACGCTGGTCATATTCAGCAAATTTTCTCCCAGGACCGCAGGCTCATATTGTCAGTGGACTTGCGGTGTAAAATTGAAACTTTTGCATTTTTCAAAGAACTGGCCGCTTTCTGTAAGATGTCCGCTGTCAATACGAACCCGCATGAGTGGGAGAAATTTTGCTAAATTTGACCAACGTGCAGCTCCCAGGTCAACATGAAATTTCAACAAGAGGGGCTGAGCCCCCCATGAGCCCTCCCTCCAGTACACCATTTGGCCTATCTTCTAAGAAAGGAATTTTTTTTTTTGCACTATGCCTGGAAAGATTTTTTTTTCTTAATTTTTTTCTGGGAATAAATTTTTTTTTTGGTTTTGCCTAAAACTGTCACATGCAATCTGCTTACAACTTGAGTTGTACTGTGTAAATCAAGCGCACAACTTGCCTATGACAACATAGTTGTAAGAAGACTGCATGTGACAGTTTTAGGTGAAATTTGTATGTCGTCTACACATGATTTCATAAAACTTTTGATGAACGCTTTCCAAACTTTGTTCTGAAGTTAACAAGTTTGTTGCAAAACGATTTTGTTAAACAAGGATAAAGCCTAAAACTTACTTTTCATTTATCTATTTGTTATTTTTCACTGGTTTGTTTGTATAAATTCAGGAGAAAGGGACTTTTCCTGAGGGGGGGGGGTGCAAACTGTGATTTTGTGGGGTGGGGGCATAAGCGGACTGGGGGACATGGCTTGTATGTTAAAAAAGGCCCTGATACTAGTCCTCTCGGTGGGTGAGACTAAGATTATGTTAGGGTTAGAGGGTGGGGGGTTAGGTTCTGTTTACATCCTATGGGTCTGAAAAACGGGAAATCGATTCTACAGATCAAAGTACTCCCAGTGTTTACACATGCATCGGGATATACATGCATCAGGCTATATATTTGAAAAATTCAAAATAAATATTTTTACCCTGTGCCATATTCAAACGAAACTTTCTACATGAAAGCACTTGAATACAAGAAGTATTTTACTCGCATGACTCTGAGCAAATTCTATGACTCTGAGCAAATTCTGAAGAGCTTAGAAGATATTCAATTTTTTTCTCAATATGAAATAAAGAATGTTTGGTCAAGTGGTGAGTAAATACACCATAACCAATAAAAATCGTAAGAATGTAAAATTTTAAATTGGGATGTGACGAGAAATTAATTAAATTAACCCATATACTGGCAGTACTCTACCTACTGATGAGTAAAATTGATAGACAATAGAACTAAAGTAGGGCGCATTGCAATGCCAGCTAATGGGTTGTTAATAAGAGACATTGGCAGATAGGTTTTTAACCCATTTACTGACAGTACTCTACCACTGACAAGTAAAATCATGGCATTACACATGCAGTGTAAATTTGTCTGGCATTGGACAGAGTTAGCTAATGGCTAAATAGACCAAAATGCTGTTTATCCACTTTTGACCCAATGGCCTCATTTTCATGTTGGTTATTTATAAGTTTGTGATTGGTCTTAAACGATGAACGAGAAACAAATTTGTGCAGGAAACATACGGCATATAACCGTCATGTGCAGGCACGTGGAAATGAGCACATTGGGTCAAAAGTAAAAGGCTTCCCTTTACAGAATTGCATAAAAGTATAAACTTTTGCATTCAGTTCATGTGGCAAAAAGGCAGCACTTTCCTTGCAATAGTAACTCCTAGTTTTTTTACTTGACATAAAATCATGTCTAATGCCAGACGATTTTACTTATCAATGGGGAAGCTCTGCAGCTTAATTAATGTGTTAACCAAAATATCTGACAATGTCTCTATAGCTAGTTAACACATTGAGCTGCAGTGCGTCCTACTTATTTTTTTACTTGTCTAATGACAGATGACTATTTACTTGTCAATGGGGGAAGCGAGCTGCGGCTTAATGGGTTAATTAATCATGATTTGATTCAGGTATTTGTGCTGATGATAAATTTACATGTGATGGCCGTTGTATAACTAAAGATTGGGTTTGTGATGGCATTACTGATTGTGGAGATAATTCTGATGAATCGCCAAAATATTGTGGTAAGTTTACAGGCTTATATTTTATATTTTACATTAATTAATTTTGCAGTATATGGAAAATTTCCTGCCCAGAACTTAGGCTGTTTAATATGAGAAATTTCCATTATTTGTGGGTTAGACAGAGTAAAATAACAAAGTGGGGTGCATTGGGTTGCAATGCAACTTTTAATGAGTTGATGGAAATTTGAAAGAGACCTCAATTTTAAAAGTGAAAACACTGCTGCAACAATTTCGAAAGATTTTACACAAAATGTTAACTTCTTTTTATTGTACTGTAGTATTGTACAAAAAAATTAATAAATTTTGTTTATTAAAAATTATTGGTACAGGCGTATTGTGTATGTACCACAGAATGCTGCAAAAATGTACTTGTTCCATATCTATTGTCTAATATTATTTGTTCCCAGTAAACTGCAAAACAACTGTTTTTGTCAAGCAACCCCACCCTGGCTGAACGAGGTCACATGATAGGTATTTTGTATGCTGCTTGTTGAAAAATATATGGACCGCAATGTGCCAAAATTATATGTCCATTAACAGAATCGAGACGATTGTTTCTAGTAGATATTTGCAAGAAATGGAAGTTCATAAGAATTTATAAAGCTCTAAAATCAACAAATTTGGGTGAATATATTATTTTGTTGCATTAATCCTGCCATACTTGTTTAATCTAATGATTAATTCAAAACTACTTACCTGATTGGATAATAAAATATATAGGCCTATAATATAATACCCATAATTCAATTAAACGACTCTGCTAGCTGGTGGCGAATATTTCCATAGCAGCAAGTCGTGCAATGCAAACTTTTAATGATTTGCATTATTCAAACCTTTAGAAATGTATTTGTCTTTAACCTACTTAGATGCAGGTTTATTAGCATAGCATGACCAGTTGCCATGGCTAGCTACACTGTTGTTATTTAACTTGTTAACAGATATGCACATAATCAAAATGAAATAATTCAAACTTTATTTGTCTTTAAAATATTGAAACATAGAGGCCCATTTACATGGTATGATGAGAACTTTGTATACAGCTAATTTAAAACATAGGTCTGCTATGACGGACATGCATCTACTGAATAGTAGCACTGGGAAATAAAAGGCATTAAGCAGATAAAAGCATAGATGTGCACTCTGACCTTTGGAATTGATTTCTGGCATTTCCAGAGTCACAGCACAACGTGACAAGCGTCGCATTGTTGACGTTTTAAAATGGTATTTCCGGTTGGGATTAGCTCACAGGGCCAGAAATGGAAATTTTTATATACCGTGATAAAACTAAAAGATACAAATATGAAGGTACAAGCTCGAAAATATAAACACTCCACACAGTGTTATTGGTAATGATTCGAACAAAAATATTGCATGTTCGGCGAAAGGTATGGCTGGCTAGTTTATATTTTTGATCAGACAATTGCGTAATTTGATAATATACGATCTCGCTTGACTTTCAAAGGCCATAAATCGCTACAATGTTGATAATCACTAATACTATTGTGAGGAATTAGTTGATATTGTTTCACTGAATCGAATGGTGGTATTATACTGTAAAGTCTCGAAAGTAAGCGCCCTGCTTACTTTTGAAATTAGTGGCCTTAAGTGGCGCTTACTTTTGAGGGGGCTCTAACTTTCAAAGGGTGCCTACTTTCGAGTTGTTATTTTCAGTGTCGGCCATTACCGTAGTTTAGCACAGAGAATTATGATAATATACCGTAACAGAAATAAAAACGTTCTATATAAATGGTTATAGGAGAAAACATGTGCGGAAGTCGCTCCAACGGCGTTGCAAATGCGGTATAGTGTAAACTGGGTCCTTAAAATTACTGTTTCTACAAGTTTTATGTCATTATTCGAAATGTTATCTTTATATAAATTGCTATCTTTATGTATACCCTATGTTTTACAACTTTAAAAAACTTTTTTCGGGGGTGGGGGCGCTTACTTTCGAGGGAGTGCTTACTTTCCAGATTCTCTAGCGAGTGTTGAAAAAGGCGCTTACTTTCGAGGGGGCGCTTATTTTCGAGACTTTACAGTATGTCTTCATAGCATGCACTGAACTAACCTTGCACTGAACCGAAGATATCAACATACAAAGTCGTAGAGAAGAGTGTAATAGCCGACGTATAAAGATTGAATATGTATTTAATAATAGACGTTTACAGTTGCAGTCTAGTACACAAAAGAGCCATCTCGAAGCTGTGCACATGTCTATATCTAAGTTGGATCTGTCAATCATGCCCCAATCAATTACGTAATATTAATAGTTAATACTACATATATTACACCCCCCCTTTCCTAATATTTAAGATCAACGTGTACAATCTCGCTTGACTTTCAAAGGCCATAAATGAATTAAATCGCTACAATGTTGATAATGACTAAAACTATTGTGCACTGAACCGAAGATATGGACATACAAAGTCGTCATCCTCTTGCGCAGTTATACGGCATTCTTCATATTGCACTTCGCTCGTGTTATATTGACAAAACCATTTTATTGAGTACTTGTGTTATTGATATAAACAGCGGAATTGACCGTAGATGACCGCTTTCGCTTACAATCCTATGCTTGCAATGCATATTTACATCGATTCGTCATCAAATGTGCCTTTTCCCGACATACACAGACCTCTGGTCCTGACAATGCTTCTAATCAGTAGATGCAAAAAGGTTGTCCTTTGCAAACCTTTAAACTCTAAACCTTAAACTCTAAGCGTGCAAAGCATAATGGGAGCTTCATTTAATCAGTTTAGAAATTCATATATGGTGCCCATTTCTTAGAGACATGCATGGTAAATATCTCCTTGTGCGAACAATTCATTCACAAATAGCTGCAATATTCAACTACTAAGCTTGAAACTTGTGCTACTTTTTTGAATTGGCTGTATATACGACTCTCATGCTGGCTATGTACTGAATAACAGGTGTAAAAATGTCACATTTTAATTTTATTTTGATATAGAGTATTAATCAAAATAAATTATGCTGCGGATTTTACAGGCACTCGACGGGGAAAAATTTCCAAAACATAGAATTTTATTTCTTGATAATCCAGATTATTTTTAAGAATTTTTATGAAAATATCCATTTTTTGTTGTTATATGTCCATTAAGACTAAAACTAATATATTTTCACAAAGATAAAGTATATCATGTTTTCTCCAATTTTGATAAGAGAAATAAAACCCCTGATATTCTGTGGTATTCTGTGGTACTGTACATACACCTGTGTACTTAAAAATTAAAAAAAACTTTCTGATATTGGGTTCAAAAACTGGTGTTTTCAGTACCGGTTCCATTACGATATACCGTTTACAGTATTGTGCCAGGAGGTGTATTCTGGGTTTCAAGAACTTCTATGGAGTATTTTTGTTCTTTCCAGCCAATAAATCTTGTGGTACTGATGAATTTACTTGTATGAAAAGCCAAAACTGTATTTTGAATTCTTGGACATGTGATTATGAAAATGATTGTGAGGATGGAAGTGATGAAGTTAACTGCCGTGAGTAGATCTTTATGCTTTAAATTTTTTGTATAGACTACATGTATCAGATGTATGTGTACAAATTGCGATTAATTGGAGTGACTTAACTTTATATATTTTACAGTCAAAATTGATGTTCTTTTGTTAGTAACTTTGCAATATTGCATCACAACATTGTAATGTTGATTTGCAAGTTGCAACTGCTTTTGACAAGTTGCTGCCTAGAAACTACAGCATTATGAAAATATATTGGTATTTGGGATGATTAATTCTACATTTGATACAAATTGGACATATAAATTGTACACATGCTTGTGTTTGATTTTGCATATAGTTACGATAGCATTTAGAAGTAATTATCAACCTCATAATTACCTGTATATATCAAACATTGTGTGGTCGACATCAAATAGTTTAAAACAAAACAAAAAAATAAATAAAAAGAATATACAGTAATTGACAAATTCATTTATCTGAAATGTGACAAATGTTTATATCACTAATATTTATCAATGAAACAATAGAAGAAAGTTGCCGCTTAAAATGCACCCTTGGACAAAATTATCATTTCATTCCAGACCTTGGGGCCTTGGAATCGAAGAGAAAATTTTCCATAATTTATAGTTCTTACTGTGGGAATATAATATGAATCTTTTGAGGCTAATCTTGTGTTATAGTTATGTTTTCTTTTAACTTGCATAAAAAAAAGTCGGTAAATACATACAATTGTTGCTGCCACCCTAGAAACTTGTCAAGAGCGGTTGCAATTTGCTCCGAGTAATTTGGAATCAATGTTTCTGTTTAATTTGGAATCAATGTTTCAATATTGCAAAGTTTCTTGCAGTTTGAGTGTAACAATATAAGAATGTGTAGTAAGCATATTATGTAGTACTTAGTATCATCTGACAAGAATATCAACTGACAAACTATAATTACTGCAACAATGTCATTAACACTGAATGTTGTTATTTAGCTGTAAATCAGTGTCTAGAAGGATCTTTTCAATGTAAAAACCAGAAATGTATTGATTCAAAGTGGAAATGTGATCATGATTTTGATTGTGATGATAAGTCTGATGAAACAAATTGCAGTAAGTTACACTGTGTTTTACATTCATGATAAGTGCATGTGTGCCAAGAAAACTTAATTGGCAAGTGCATGTGTGCCAAGAAAACTTAATTGTGGTATCCATAATTCGTAGTTTTATCACTTTTCAAGCAGTTTTACAATCGTTGAAAAATTGCTATCCGGCCCTATCCACCTCTAATTGTGAGCCACCATACTACATACTTAGTAAACCAGTTTTCAGATCTTGAGAATGTGGTTGCTTTGAATGTGCTTCAGCACCCATTGGTTAGTTACAGAGAGAAACATTTTCTCCAACTTATTACGGTTCTGATTGATGCAGCCTAACAGATTCTGAACCACTCTTTTCACTCTGATTGCATCAGGGTCCCATTTATCTATCGCTCATTATTTGCCTTGATGAACACAGGATAGTAGAGGTGTGGATCGACATGGACGTTTATAACCTGACAATTGGCTAATAGTTTAAAATCCGATCCGAAATTGTCAAATCCAATCCGAGCTTTGATAAAGAATTCCGATCCGATCCGAAGAATCCTTTGATAACATAAATTTCTTATTCAAGTTGAAATATTTAACCAAATAAATATAAAAGCAAGAAATACATGTCAAGAAGCTGACAAAGTGACGTCCAATTGAAGTATCAAACGAATAATGCAGCGACAACCGCGATAATGCTTTGATAAATGCATGGATAATTAATTCGTGTGATAATGCGTTGATAAATGCATGGATAATTAATTCTTGTGATAATGCGTGGATAATTAATTCGTTTTATTTCCAATATCGAAGTTCGATCCGATCCGACTACGAAACAACTTTATCAATCCGATCCGAAAATCCGAAATGTATATTTTTGTTCCGAAATCCGATCGGATTTGCACACCTCTACAGGATAGTCATTTGCTACTCTCCTGCTTCGTACAAAAGTTTTTAAACATTAAATGTCATTAATACATCTTCCATTACAGCCTACCGTCCGTGTGATATCAGATTTGAATTTCAATGTAATGACAAACGTTGTATCCAGAAGGAAGCATTTTGCGATAACCATTATGATTGTGATGATAATTCGGATGAACCAGCAACATGCACTTCAACTATTAAAAACAACAATAAATGTCCTGTTGGCCGTTTTGATTGCAAAGATGGAACCTGTATTTTCGATCGTTGGATATGTGATGGTGATATGGATTGTCCGTCTGGAGATGATGAAAATAATTGCACAGGTGTGTTTAACCCCAGTGCTCTCCCCTTGACAAGTAAATCATCTGGTGTTCGCCTGAGTAAAATAATAAAGTACGCCAAGTGCATTAGGGTGCAATGCAACTTAATAGGTTAAATTTAATACATTGATGGCGAAATTACTGCAGTTTGTTTGAAAGGCAGCACAACCGTTGACAGGCATTCAGAATTCTGTGCTGCCGCGATTTAAACAAGTTCTTTTTCAATTTCTGATGCTTTGTACACATGATGTACAAATTCACATCAGGAAATACCAGTACAAAACTAATGGGTAAGAAAAATTGCCCCAAACTCTTTGCAATCATCAGATAAAAAGATTAAGGTCTGTGATTTTGGTTGCCAAAAACAAGGGCGGGCGGGCGTGCGTGCGTGCGTGCCTGTGCGCGCGTGTGCGTGCGTGCGTGCGTGCGTGCGTGCGTGCGTGCGTGTGTGTATATATGTATATATGTATATATGTATATATGTATATGTATGTAGTATTTAAAACACGAGGAGTGTTTTATGATATTTAAAACGAAATGAAATTTAGATATGATAAAATGCGAGTTCGAGTGTTTTGAATAGCTCAAAATACGATTAAAAAAGAATGCTAATTAGGATGAACAATTATATAATCATACTGATTAGGATGAACAATTAAATAAAGAATACTAATGAAGGTGAGTTTTATCAGATATAAAGTCACTCCACATGACCTATTACGGCCGACATGATTTGCCACAAGGTTTATGAATTTTTAATGAGTATTTTAAATATATAGAATATTCTAGCAATACCTGTAATTAGGTCGTGCGTTTGAATAAATTATTATTATAGCCAGAGTAAGCAAGAATTTGGGCAAACTTAAGTAATTCACTAAGGATTTAAACTTTAGATATTTTCTGTGTGTCTTTCATTGATAAGCTTTACTAATTATTGTAATTTTTAATTGATAGCCTGTGCTGAAGGCCAGATAAGATGTCAAAGTGGAAACCGAAAGTGTATCCTAAAGTCTTTAAAATGCAATGGAAAACCAGATTGTGAAGATGGTTCTGATGAAAATGACTGTGGTAGGATATTTTGTTGTTTACAAAGCAAGTTTGGGTCCAGTTTAAGTAAAAATTGTTTAACAACTGAACATTTCACCTGCTCTCTAGCAAATTTTGCGCCAGTATTATATGGTTCACCTTTTACAGCACAAGCAATCAGTATCAGTCATTTCTAGAAAAATACCAAGGGAAAGGTTTCGTGCTTACACAATTTTACACGAGGGTATAAATTTCAAAATCTCACAGGGAGTCGACCTCGACCTTCCCTCCTTGATACCTTCTCCATCACATTCTTCTGTAACCGTATATTTCTTTAAAAAAGTCGCCTACTCAAAATTCTAGTGGATACACACCTGAATACACACTATACATGTGAATTATTTCCAGATCCTGCATTCAAATGTAAAGAGGGTGAATTCAAATGTCTCAGGTCTAACGTGTGTATCAATGAATCATTGACATGTGATGGTGAGAAGCATTGTAGTGATGGGACAGATGAAGGTCAATTTTGCGGTAAGGATTTCCTTCAATAGAGAATATTCAAAGCATTTCTTTCAATAAAAAATATTCAAAGTCTTAATGTGTTTGAATACAGTGAATTGTGAATGTCCGAGTGGTCTCTTTCCCTTTATTTACTACATTAAAGTAAGATTCACTGATCATAGAAGTACGAATTAGTACGGTTTCTATATGCGTGTATAGGTAAACTTGTGGTAGACCTATGCGTTGCAGTACCTTGTATATGTAATGTAAACTATTCAGAATAATACACAGACATAAAAACTACTGCACGATTCCTGAAAACAAACTATTTCTTTCATATTACTGGTTACAACGAAGGATATCTGATTTTTTAACGAACTGCTCTTTTTCTACCGTATATATTTTGCTTGTTTATTTAATGCTTATAAATGCAGTAGCTTAATATTTTTGGTATAATTCTGCTGCTACAAGTGCTCAAAATAACGAGAGATAGATCTCCGGTCAAAATGACCGGTCAACTTCATTTTAGCTCGTTGAAAATCTGTTTTTAACCGGTCGTTGATACGCTTACACTAACAGTGAAACAAATTATTAAAAACTTGTTTCGATACATCATAGTTTCATGTTTTAATTCAAGACGTCAGCAATCACATTGGAAGGCGTGAAAATGTGGCCAGTCAACATTTTGGCCAGTCACTCACTCATTGTCCGTTGAACGGCCGTTATTTTGAGCCCTGGCAGTATTCAGTGCTTCATGATATTACAGTCCGGCAGCCTCGAGTAACATCGCGAGTGGTTGGTGTACTCCATTAATATACAGTATAAAGTTCTCTCTCATGAATATGATCAAGGAACTGCATTAGGTTAAATGGGTTGCGCATGATATTAGCGATGTCACCGAAGTGTGCGAACGCATGAAACATTTGTAAATTTTGTGTATTTTTTTGCGTACTTGCAATTCTAATTCCCCTACCTCCGAAGATCTTAAAACAGTACAAAATTCATATACATCTTTTAACAGTACAAAATTCACATACATCCTTAAACAGTACAAAATTCACATACGTATAGGTAATAGCATGGTTTCGAGTGCAATTTGGATACAACATGCACGAGTGAGTTTTTCAAAGACCTCAAAATAGCACGAGTCCGAAGGACGAGTGCTATTTGAGGTCTTTGAAAAACTCACGAGTGCATGTTTATCCAAATTTCACGAGAAACCATGCTATTACTTATTAATAATTTACATAAAAATGTTCGAGACAATTGTAGTTTTCACTCACGCGTTTATAGCGAACATTCCACTGGCAACATTTTCCTGGCTTTGTTATATCACATTATACAACGCTAACAGCTTAAAAATTCCACTCAACTATGTAATCTTTGTTTGTCTTGTTTAAGGTAAATGCTTTTCCATTTAAAAATAAAGATAAAAGCCATATTTTCCACGCGAAGGCAACTTTTACTTTGTGTAGCGCGGCGCCGCAAATTTTTTTTCCGTAGACAGTCGGACTCCTCATTGATAGTCGGACGCATCATTGATCCACGTCCAGGCCTCCGCGCGTTATCGATGGATCCCTTCGTACCCTGCGTAACCCACTGGTGCACCATATATCCATCACTCCACATTGTTCTTCTTCGACCACGTGTAGAAAGATGAACGATTTGCTTCGCGATGCCATAGTAAATCTACAAACTTGTTTTTCTGCGAAAATACTTGCGAAAATACTCAAGAACTGTTATTGCGAGTTAAAACTATATATCACCCCAATTGAAGAGAATCAGGATAAGATAAATAGCGTGTAAGGAAGTACAGGAAGATTCAAGGCTACCATCAAGACCACTTTCTATAAATAGGAGTATTGCAGAATACCCGTCCACTAGTAATATCATATCATGTAGCCCGGCCACTATTTCACTGGATACGTATATACCAGATCTTATTGCCTCGTTCTAATATACACAAACTAATTACTAAAACAATATTACGAATTGATACTATAAAGAAATATCATGCAAGACTTTTAATGTTTAATACTATGCTTAGTATGCTTTATAATATAAAATTTTTTCTCCCAGCGACGCTAATTAATCATAATCTGTCAAACACTAATGTCCGGGTGTGTGGAACATATTTACATATTACACCACATTTAAGCTACTTGACTTGCGTATCCACGTATCCACTAAAATATAGAGCCCGCTATATATAGCATGAGAATTTGATCTAATGCTAATCTAACTGTATGCCTCGTTCTCAAAATAACTACTTGACTCCATGTCTGCGTATATCCACTAGAATATAGAGCTACCTTTAACACTATGACAATTTAATCTATTAACGCTAAGTCACTGACACTGTATGCTTCGCAGCTACCTTTACCACCATGGGATTTTAATCTATCAATTTAATTTATTTATTAATCTATTGAGAATAAATATAGATGTATTAATACATCGTATTCATGATGTTTGAAAAGCATAGCATAAAAGTGGACGGGTATTCTGCAATCGCTCCAGAAGATATTGCAATGTTTTTCCAAATTATGGAATCGAAAGCAATGAAACTTATTAAGAGTTACTGAAGCAACGAAAAGAGTTACAAAAAAACTGTTACAAAAGCAAAGAAAAGCAAGTGGGAATGGCGAATATAACTTAATAAAATATGTCAGATGTCATCGCGACACAAGATATGAAGCCATAATGTGTCCTGCTCAGATTTTGACATCTCAACCAAGCAATACAACATTTTGAAATCACAGATTGCGTGCGCAAGACACACTGGGAAGGCGCATCTAATAAGAAGAGTATCCGCTGAATGTTTTGTTTAAGGGCGCATGTCAATGATGCGTCCGACTATCAATGAGGAGTCCGACTGTCTACGAAAAAAAAATTTGCCGCGGCGCCATGTTTGTTTTGTTTTGAAGCAATCTGTGACCGTTACTTCTTTAAACTAAATTGCTTTAAACTGATTGGTTGATTTAATCATCACAATGTTTTTCCACCAAACAGATCAGTTTGTTACAGATTTTTGCACTGTGATTACGGAAAATTGCACTGTGATTACAAAAAAATGCACTGTGATTACAGAAAATTGCACTGTGATTACAGAAAATTGCACTGCTGTTTGGGATTAACTGCACTGAAATCAACCAATCACAGTCGAGTAATATCTTTATGTATATTATTAATCTACAGTACAAAATTCACATACATCCTCAAACAGTAAAAAGCACACTGACTGCATGATCACACATATCGCAAGCCCTCACGTAATTTATCATCTTTTAATCCATATCTGGGCTTTAGTGTTTTTTCCTATGATATCGAAATTAATTAGTGCACAATCGTTGTGTGTTATTCTAGATAAAAATGAATGCAATGAATTTGGCAAGTGCAGCCAGATCTGTATAAAAGACGATGATGATGGCCATAAATGCAGATGTGTAGCTGGTTATCGTTTGGATAGAAAGGATTATCGAACGTGTAAAGCTATAGGTTTGTGGAGATCCTTATTTCCTTAGCTATATATGTTTGTACATTTATACGCTTACGTATATACTTAATATTTACACTATTTATACCTATGCCAAGGTATGCGCAGGCCTTGAAAATCCTGGAAAGTCCTTGAATATGATAAAAATAAATCCATGCCTGGAGAAACCTTGCAAATTTGGCTCAGGTTCTTGAAATTCCTGGAATTTCTTTCTATGCAGCTGTGCTGATAATACTTGAACTGTTGAACATTATTTGGACTACTGATTTTGAATAAATAATGGTGTTTCAAAATCTGTCCCATTTTCCAAACCTTTCCAGTTTTAGGTCCTTGAATTTACTGAAAAACATGCTTGAAAATCGTAGAAAAGTTCTTGAATTCCATCTTCACTAAAGGTGGAAGTTCTGCTATGCATGTCTGTATAGGAATAAAATGGGTTTAAGTTTATCATGAAGGCAAGGTGTCCCAAGATTTCTGTTGGGCTTTATAAAGTATCTTGATATTCATTCGGACAGGTCAGCCGGGATTGCAGTTATCAGAATGAATAATACAGTATACACTTGCTTTTTTTTCAGTTTTTGTCAATTTATTGTCACGTTATAAGGATAGTTCTGATACTAGGGACTTTAAGATTGCGGCAAACTTCAACCTTTACGGCAGACTGTTAATTGCAAACGGCAAACTTCAAATTGCATTTGAAAGTAGCAAGGCCTACAATTTCGATACCTAAAAGTAGCTACGTGTAATTCTACTTCCATTTTAGTGCACAGTTGCCCTAACTTCGAACTGCTAATAGTTGAATAAATCAGAAATGCCGTACGAGGTCGTACGTTCTGTACTAAGTTGACGAACGTTTAATCGATGTCAAAACGGTCTTCTGTTAGAAGGAAGACTGGTTAATAGAAATAGAAATACAAATAAAATAGGAAAAATTTTATAAAGCGCCAACTTGTGTTCGATTCTCAAAAACAAACGTGTTCGTTTCTCTTGTACTGCGCATGCTCGTAAATATACGTTTGCCAAAAACACTATTCAAAATACTTCTATTACACAACGTTTAAAATGGGATGAACTGATACGTCTATATACCTCATCTAAAATTTAAAAAACTCCAGCGGCCTTGGCGTTTAGTCCAAAATCGTCCACAACTTCAAGTTCTTTTCTATAGAAAGGTGATCTAGGCCCCCTGACACACACATGTACTGATCTTAGAATTTCAAAAGAAATTCTGGTTCTCAACCACGCTTTGACAACTGCATATCGTTCATTATCTTTTTCTACCAGTTTCTGCGCAGCTGTTTAAGAAACATTTGGTATTCAATCCCCTTCCACCATTGAAATGCTGGATTTAAATGACGTAAACAAAGATGGCGGTCCGGGATTCGAACAGTGAACTCGATGTTTCTATAGATGATTGATGTATGATTGTTCTAAATATATGGATATTTCAGGATTAAACGGCAAACAGAAAGGGGTAACGGTTCCGCTCTGATGTAGAGAGTGTACGCGATCGTATAGTATACTTATCTGAAATTATTGGCGTATGCCAAGCTAATTTCGGCGTACATGCAATCGTACGTCCGTATACACCTATTTTAAGCCCTGCGTTTGGTGCTGTACCTGAAAGGTTTTCCCTTCCTATATTAGCGAAGACATATTTTTATGGTAATTTTCTGTACTTACTGTCTGTTTCTGTATTGTATTTAGAACGACAACTGTACCTTGTATTCTCTGATCACTATTCAATCCGTAAATTGTTTTTGCACAAGCCTCAATTCTTTGGTGTGGTACCCCACTTGAGTGGGATTATTGCGGTAGACTATCATTTCGGTGAAAACTCCATGTATTGGACAGATATGAAGACTAAATCTATTCAACGAACCAGTTTGCGTGGTAGTGAAGAAACTCTTGTGAAGGAAACAATAATAACAGATATTCGAGCTCCTGATGGCATTGCGGTGGATTGGGTAACGGGAAAGTTGTACTGGACTGATGCTTGGGAAAGAAGAATTGAAGTTTCTGACTTGCATGGTCAACACCGTCGTGCCTTGATCACTAGTGATATTGATATGCCAAGGGCTGTAGTACTACATCCGTATTATGGGTTAGTTTGAATTCATACTTATTTTACAGTGCAGACATGTCTGATTAAACTTGTCTGATACAAAGCATTGTTTTCTCTGATACAAAGCATTGTTTTCGTTTGTGTTTGTGTGTTTGTGTTTGTTCTCAGTCAAGCTGAAAGGATTTGTGAACATAACATTCTCGTTTAGAATTTGAAGTTTTATTATATTTGTTGCCCGCGGCGGGATATCTTGCATTTATCTAAAGCCGTGGCCACAAATCAAATTGGTGTCCATCTTAGCTATATACATATCTCGCTTAATTTAGGGAAATGTTTTGGACGGATTGGGGTGTGAAGCCGAAAATTGAAAGATGTGGAATGGATGGAGATCCCACAAGTCGAAAAGCAATAATCACAACAAGAATCCTGTGGCCTAATGCTCTCACTATTGACTATACTATAAACAGTATCTGGTGGGTTGATGCCAAGCTTGATCTTATTGAGCATTGTGATTTAAATGGCGAGAATAGACGTGTGATTTTAGCTCAAGACAAAATATTTCATCCATTCTCAATCTCCGTATTTGAAGACCATGTATATTGGAGTGACTGGAATAAAATGGGAATATATAAAGCAAATAAATTTACTGGAAAGGATGTGACATCTCTTAAAGAAGGATTGGTGCACGTCCTAGGAATAAGTATGATTCACCCTCAGAGACAACCAGCATGTAAGTAAATATTGTAGGAGAACAGGCAGTGTTCTTATAGTTTCAGTGCTATCAAAAGCTAAGAAATATTAGGATTTATTATATGGACAATGGTGGTTTACTGGAAACTAAAACACTCGTAGAACTCGTATATCAATACATCCGGGACCAGGTGCGCGTATTTTCCGTATTTCACCCCTGCGAGTAACATACGAAGTTCGAAAATTTCCCGCCATTTTCATTGTTGTTGTTTTGAAAATACAAATGGTCTTTGGTTCGTATATGAAACAAAATTAATGTTGGAAATAAAACGAAAACATTTAAAAGACATCTTGAGATAAGTAAAATTTATTCTAGTTTTATGTTTGCACCATAATTTTAAAAAATATCGCTTTTATACTGGTCTTTCGCGTACTTATTTACATGTCTTTGTGTGTATTTTTGTCACTCTGAATAAGTCCATATAATAAACAGAACATTAAACGGTTGCGAGTAGATATTGATTTATGTTCTCGTGTCAAAAACAATATCTCACTCGTTCGCAGCGCTCACGCGTGAGATATTGTTTTTGCCACTCGAACATAAAATCCATATCTCTTCGCAACCGTCTAATATCCTTTATATACGTACAGTAAAAAGCAAACACCATATTGAATAAACATCAATTAAAATGGGTCGATGGTTCCGGAAAGTACATCACTTTGGCTATAGGGCGTCGTTTTCGTGACTGAGACGTTAGGCTTTAACTAATGTCACATACATGAAAACGAGCCTCTATAGCTAAAGTGGCGTACTTTCCGGAAGCGTGTTTTGCATGCAATACAATTGAAACACTATGTCATTGCAAGAACTATGTCTAAGTTGAGAAATTGCCAAAATATTCAGTGCGGTTAATTAAACAAGGCTTTGAATTTGTTATCTCCCCTGTCGATTCAAGCCAGTCTGCGCAAAAAAAGCAAGTGAATTTTTTAGCAGTGTCTACACTACAATACGTACACAAAAGTGTATATATATACTGTAACCACAAAAATATGTTCTTGCTATCAGGAGAATAATATTAATACCCTAAAGATATACATTGTAATGCAAACCTCGCCCGAAAAATATCCATCCTTTCTTTAATATGAAGCAAGAAAGTTAGGTGTCTAGTTGTTGCTTAACCTTTGCAGTAACACGTGCAGTAACGGCGTTTGTCTTGTATTTTCATGTTGCGGCCGAGATACTGTATTTTCAAACTTTTTCTCCCACTAATTTTTAACTTTCTAGGGTAAAGCTTAGCATGCATTGGTTGGGGGCTTCAGCCAGACTGAAAAGTTTTATTTTGCACAGGAAATATTTTTTCCTTGGATATTTTCGAGAGAAAAAATATGGCAGACTGCAGTCAAAAAGCATTACTATAATAACAATAATAATTAATACATAATAATAATAATTTTTGGCACTTATAGGATGATCAGAAATCTTCTTCGTTCTTGATTCACAAAGGCGTTTTGTGCAGATTTTTTACAAATTATTTTCAGTTCCCAGACGAATTTGAAGAATTTTTTCGCAGGAAGTTAATTTCTTCCAAAGCCAAAACTTTATAGTGTGCGTGTCCAGCTTTCTTTGTTTTATACTTCCTTTATTTTATAAAAAAGATCTTACTTTAATTCATTGAATTATTAAATTATTTCTACAGTCAGTTATTAATTTTGCAAATTACTGAAAAATTAAATTAAGAAATAGCAGTCATTGCACTCAATACAAAGGGCTTATTGTAATTACGTAATGCATGAACGAATAAACCTCGGATTATTTGCTCTGGAAATGCCAAATAAAGATGTGAGGTTTAGTACCACAATAGGTACCAAATATCATGATAATTTCTGTTTTAGCGTTTAACTTCTGTCAAGAGTATAATGGTGGTTGCAGTCATTTATGTTTGCTGTCAGCGCGACATAAGAAGACACATCGTCATTCTTGTGCTTGTCCTAAAGGAGTTAACATTTTACCGGACAATAAAACATGTAACCTTCCAGGTAGGTCTGATTATTAATTAAACGTGGTTTTTAATACGTCCCAAAGGTGCTCGTTTATTTGGTTGCCCCATTGGTGTACACGTTTTCATCCGTTAGAGATTTTCTAAAAAACAAGTATGTTAATGTGATGTTGTCAATCCATTAGAATCATTGTTGTGTGAGAAGGGAAGATGTAATAATGGTACATGTATTCCTGGAAATAATCTTCGTGGTCCAATTTGTCAGTAAGTACCAGTACTTTTGCTATTGTTTAAGCTTTCATCACTGCTGAAGTTTCTAGTGTGTCTAAATAAGTTTAAATAATAATAATAATAATAATAATAATGGAAACTTTATGTAATAATTTTGTTATATACTATATAAGTATATATATACAATTGTAAATCTTACTAATTAAGGTAACTTACAATTGGCTATTTGAATCACAACTATGAACTAATAAAAATGAGAAGACAGAATACATGAAAATATATAAATATACCAGACAATCAGATATTTCAAATAGTTAACAAGTCCGGACTTTCCCATTCCTTATTTCGACAGCGAAAAATATGGTATGTACTTCGAATGGCAATAGTCATCATTTTCTTAACACAGTATGTTCGGTACTTTTTGTTCAGACCAACATTTCCTAACATTTCTAAGAATGTAGAGCATTCTTGCGCAAAAATATCTAGGGAGCTCATGGAGAGATTTATAAAGTTTACTTCGTTAAAATTTTCATCTAGCTGTTTTACTAGTTCTCTATATTTGACTTTTTTCCGTTTAACGTTGTTCTCGAGGTTTGTCTCATAGCCAACATTGAGCTCGACCACATAAAGCGAGCCATTTAATAATGATAGCAACAAATCCGGGCGATACGTATCACCAGTTATTATTGACGGACTTTTGCAAATCTCACTGTTAAAGGTAATTTACAATTGGCTACTTGATACACTATACATTATTACACTATACATGGACATGATGATATTATAGTTATCAATACATAACTTGGAAAGAGGAAATAGAAGCTCTGGTTAAGATAGCAGAAATATATCCCCATGCAGTGTATGCAGCCTTTATTCATTCTATAAAGGGAAAGTGGCAGTTTGTCATGCGGACAGTGGATAATGTTGAAAAGTTATTCCAACCAATGGACCATTTGCATTATAGACTAAATTTTGATCTAGACAAAAATTTCATCACAGCTTGAAAGAGCATCACAAAATTAGTAATATTCCAAAGTTTCGTTGCGAATTGTTGTAAAATGCGGATAATATAGCCTTGCGAAGTTTGCCGTTTTTCAGTCATTTTGTATTACGCACGGGAAATTGACAGCCCAATCGGGTGTTGGGGCATCAATTTCCCGTTTTTAATACAAAATGACTGAAAATTGCAAATTTCCCAAGGCTATATTATCCGCATTCTACAACATTTCGCAACGAAACTTTGGAATATTACTAATTTTGTGATGCTCTTTCAAGCTGTGATGAAATTTTTGTCCAGACCAAAATTTAGTCTATAATGCAAATGGTCCATTGAAGATATTATAACCGAGAAGCTTATTCTTGCACTGACGGGCAGAAGTCATTGTTCAATTGAAGAAAGGAAGTTGCTCTCGTTGCCAACAAGATATGGAGGTCTGAATATCGTAAATTCAGTCGAAGAAGCTAATCTGCAACTTGATGCGTCCAGAAAGATCACTGAGCGCTTGAAGAAAATGATAATCGAGCAATCTGATTCGTACAGAAAACCGGATTTGTGCGAAATCAAAGCGAAGCTACTGTACGTCAACAGAAAGCAAATCAGCATGCGAGCAAGGCCAAAATCATCAGAAAGTTTACCTGCCTCAAAACAACGGACAATGGATTTGTTAAACGAAAAAGGCGCTTCATCTTGGCTTACCGTTCTCCCCTTAAAGTGCCTATGCGACAATTTTTTTATGATTGAATTGCAAAGTTCATTTAAAATCATAATATAACTTGTTTTCTAAAACTTTATATTCTTTCCTGTATATCAAGATTTTCGACTTTGTTTGATCTACAAATGTGACTTAAATGACGTCACACTTCATAATGAGTTTTTAGAAAGAAAACGTTTCCTTGCCAAACATGTGATAATTCCATTGACATTGAAAGTGATATACTTTAAGAGCTATCAAAGCGATCATTTCATCTGTAAATTTGAGATAATGAGAATTTTAACAAGCTACAACACAGTCTTCTGTAAAACGCATTATGCAGTGTGACGTCATTTAAGTCACATTTGTATATCAAACAAAGTCGAAAATCTTGACATACAGGAAAGATTACAAAGTTTTAGAAAACAAGTTATACTATGATTTTAAATGAACTTTGCAATTCAATCATAAAAAAATTGTCGCATAGGCACTTTAAAAGAACATGCTTTTAATTTGAACAAAAGTGAGTTTCGTGACGCTTTATGCCTAAGATATGATTGACAGTTGAAAAATCTTGCGCAACTCAACAGATCATGCCATGATCTGTTCACATGGTGGTATGACAATTGTTCGTCATAATGAGATTCGGGATATTACTGCCGATTGGTTGAGCGAGGTGTGCAGTGAAACTGAGAAAGAACCGCAACTACAGCCTATTACCGGAGAAGGTATATTTCCTCAGTCAGCAAATACGAAAGAAGAAGCAAGATCAGATATAAAGGCAAATGGCTTCTGGTGTCGACAGCAAAGTGCATTTCTTGATATAAAGGTGTTTCATCCCAACGCGCCAAGCTATCGTAACTCCAGTATTCCCTCCTTATACAGAAATAAAGAACAGATGAAGAAGAGAGAATATGGTGACAGAATAAGAGAAATCGAGCATGGTTCCTTTACCTCCCTAATCTTTTCAACCAGTGGTGGTCTTGGTAAAGAATCAACAGTCGCGTATAAGAGAATTGCTGAATTATTAGCGATTAAATGGAAGTCAGAATATTGTGCTACTCTAGCATGGATGAGGTGCTGCCTCTCTTTCGCCATTTTAAGATCGGCGATCGCGTGTATCTGAAGTACTGACAAGAAAATGGGAAAGGAACGCACTAGCGAAGTCCAAAAATAGTTAATCAAATATCGTGGGCGCATGGCTCACCGTTCATGGGTGGTCTTCCTCACTGATCTCAAAATATGTAGCGGACTGTCGTGAATAGTGAACACTGATTGGTCAAATTTGAATTTTGCATTATAACGACTGCATTGACGACAGCGAAATAACAAAAATTTCTTTCAAGTTGTATTTTTGCAAGATTTTTGAAATTTCAAAACCTTAGGTAAGTTCGTTTTAAATATTGATGTATTGTTTGTTTTATAATTGATATATTTATAACTGATAGTGGTGGGCGATACTGCGAATATCGAACTGATATACTGTCGTTGCGCTCGTCGTTGCGTATATAAGTGAAAAAAGACAGCATATAATTTCAGTGTAGTTTTATTAATTACCCTTTCTTTTGTGTATGCAAATATTTAAATAAAGAGGAAAGCAAAGTTATTTTCATGCGAGAATTTGAAATCGGTTTATTTCAAACTCAATGTTTACCGATAATTCGATAAAAGGCCGTTTAGGGGTACTTTACACTTTACCGTACTGCAAGTATTTGATGGCGTGTGTTCTGACGGTTTTTTCGTTCTTTTACTGGCGTTTGTATTCAGTGATTACTCCGGTACGGTAAAGTGTAAAATTTCCCTTATATTACGTATAATAACATACCTAGCATATATATGTTTGGGAAATTGATAATTTTATTATTTGAAATTATTAAAAGTGATATTCTGGGGGGATTTTTCAATGTTAAAACCAGGATTTTTCATTGTTAAAACAATGTTAAAACTATTCTTAAAATTATCGTGTTACCGTGACAACTACTTTCAACTCTTCATATTCAGAAAACATAATGTTTTATCAGTAAGGCGAGGGTTTCTGCATGCATGTATTTTCTATAGTATCATGTAACAAAGAACGTAATATTTTTAAACAGCATATTGTAAAGTATTTCTTAATAAAGCATTATATATAACTTGGGTTTATCAAGGGTACACATTGTTGAGTGACACTCTTGAGTGACGTCGTTGCAGAACAACAAATTTAAGACTACTTCGACTTTTTACTGCATTCTTTTTCTGCCATACGTAGAAGATCAGTATGAAAGCTGTATTTTCTAACTAAATTCATTCTAATCATTGCGTAATTTGTTTCAATTTAGATGTAAAGAAGGATATACCGGTGTTCGATGTGAAAGCAAAATATCTCTTGTTCCTCCAAGTCGTACTATTCCTTTCAAGTATTGTTATTGTTGTTATTATTATTGTTGTTGTTGTTGTTGTTGTTGTTGTTGTTGTTGTTGTTGTTGTTGTTGTTGTTGTTGTTATAATTATTATTATTATGAAAACTTTACTGAATTTTTTATGCACTTACAATTGCAAATCTCACTGTTAAAGGTAATTTACAATTGGCTTCTTGATATACACTATACATTATTACACCACACATGGACATGATTATATGATACAAAAAGTAAGAGACTAGCTAGTAGGTATTATTATTATTATTAATATTATTAATATTATTATTAATATTATTATTAATATTATTATTAATATCATTATTAATATTATTATTAATATTAATAACACAACACTATTAATATAATTGACAATTTTTTTAAGAATAGCTAGTCTAATTTTTTTTATCATGTAACATAGAACGTAATATTTTTAAACAGCATATTGTAAAGTATTTCTTAATAAAGCATTATATATAACTTGGGTTTATCAAGGGTACACATTGTTGAGTGACGTCGTTGCAGAACAACAAATTTAAGACTACTTCGACTTTTTACTGCATTCTTTTTTTGTCATACGTAGAAGATCAGTATGAAAGCTGTGTTTCTAACTAAATTCATTCTAATCATTGCGTAATTTGTTTCAATTTAGATGTAAAGAAGGATATACCGGTGTTCGATGTGAAAGCAAGATATCTCTTCCTCCAAGTCCTAGTCCTTTCAAGTATTATTATTATTAATATTCTTATTATTCTTCTTCTTATTATTATTATTATACCAACATACAGTACTAACATACAGTACGACGTCTACACCTCAACAAAGGAAGTTCTTAAAAGTTTCAAATCTGCACAAGAGGACAAGCTTCAAATTATCTGCTTTCTCCAAGGCTCCTTTTTCTTTAACATCACCAAGTTCTCGTTGTCTACACTAAACAACCTATGGTCCAAATCTCAATCCAGCTTGCCAAAAAGCATCTATAACTTCACCATCCGTTACATCAACAACACTCTTCCCACACGCAAAAACCTCACAAAATGGGGAATAATGTCAAACTCGGATTGTTCCCTCTGCCTGAACCCTGAAACCCACGATTTACTTGGAGACATGACTCCATTCTCAATTTTATCGCAAAAATACTCCAACCTGAGCACAACTCCACACTATTTGTTGATCTTCCTGGATATAAGAGCCCATCAATAATAATGGGTGACACTTATCGCCCAGATCTGCTTCTTTCGATTTCAAATGATTGTTTGTACATACTTGAACTCTCTGTTGGATATGAATCCAATCTCCAAAATAACGTTGCTCGCAAAAGGGAAAGATACAAGGATCTAATTACGGAGCAGAAAAACCATTTCAAAACAGTCAAATTTATTAATTTGTCTATTAGTGCCTTAGGTGTTTTCTCAAAAGAATGTAGCACGTTTATGAAAATGTTGAACGAAATTGGTCTTGATAAAAAACATCAGAACTTTTGTGTTAAGAAAATAATGTCTATCGCCATCAGAACAACGTACTATATATTTTGTTGTAGAAACAAGGATTGGACCGATCCGGACTTGATGAACATTTAAGAATGAGCTTTCTCTTAGTTTTATACCTGTAATATAGTTTTATCAATAATTAATAGTTCAAGTAGTCAATTATAAATTTCCTTAATTAGTGAGATCTATAATTGTATATACATAAAATGTCAAAATAAAGTTTCCATTATTATTATTATTATTATTATTATTATTATTATAATGAAAACTTTATTGAATTTTTTATGCACTTACAATTGCAAATCTCAATGTTAAAGGTAATTTACAATTGGCTTCTTGATATACACTATACATTATTACACCACAAAACAAACAACAAAAGTACCTTGATCTAATTAAAGAGCAGGAAGCAGATTATGATAAAGTCAAGTTCGTCAATTTATCATTGAGTACACTCGGAGTTTTCAAGCCGATTATCCGAAAATTTTGATGGCATGCTAAGAGGCCTTAAAAGTGATCCCAAATTTTGTATATACATAAAAAAGAAAATCGTGAACATGTGCATACGAACATCATATTATATATTTTGGAAACGAAACAAGGTGTGGGATAATCCAAAACTAATGTCAATATAATCCGCCTTAAAATAATTATTGTATAATAAACACATAGGCCTAGTATCAATTCAAGTAGACATTGATGAACTACCTGTAAAGTGAGGTTTATCTTTGTAAGTGAATGAACTACCTGTAAAGTGAGGTTTATCTTAATAATCAATAAATAAAGTTTCCATTATTAATAATAAAAATAATAATCATATTTATTATATATATATATATATACACCGCCAAACGTTGATTGGCTTGCTCAAAACGTTAACGTTTTCTGGTCAACTGAATCTGAACGTTTGAAACGTAAACAAACATGAAAAAAATCGCACACCTAATGGTAGATTGCAAATAGCAGTAATAACTAACAGCTACAATAATCATATATTATGTGGATGGTCAGATCAATGGCACACAATATGTACAAAACTGAACTTGCGATACCTTCTACTCAAACCGATATTCTCCCACAATACAAATTGTTTTTGTGTGGATATGCTGTGTTAAACCGAACAGTGTGGTATATCATTAACTGTGCACAGGATTGGAATTTAATTATATACTTCATTCATGACCTTTAAAACATTCTCTACTATTCAGTGGTCTTCGATATATCATGGGCGTCTAGCAACCCCAGCTAATGCATTACACAAATCTGTAGAGGCGGTTTTAAATGACAACCAGAAGCGGCGCCACATGTACGCGTCGATCCCATACGGGCCAGCGGAGCCTTGGATCTTAGTAGCTGCTTCTCGTATCAAATCACCAGTTATTCTTTCGATGCCATCCCCTGGGTGAATGTTTTTCCATAAGAATTTCTCTAGTTGTTTTCCATTGAATATTACCCTCTTTGTCTTCACCAGCTGGAATTAACCGTGTCCATTGCATTGGAAATTAGATTGACAGCTTAACGAACTTTGCCTTGCAGCATTAAACGATTGAAGCCCCTTGCAATCTGTTCCATTTCGCCTTGCGATGTTAAATTTGAAGCAGGTGAATTAAATAAATGTTTTTTAATACACTTTCCCTCCAAAATTAATTCTTAATAGGAGTCTACGCTCCAAGCAGGCAACATGGTCTTTGGTTTTACTCTTCGCGTGAGGCTTTTGTAGTAGGGCGCTTTGCATCACTGAATACGCTTTAGGGGCAATACATTCAAGTGGCGACTCATCTGCATACGCCTGATATAGACGAGCTAACTCTTTGATAAACGCTTTCCCGACTTTACCAGATTGAAAGTTGTTAGATACATGTAAACAGTCGGATAAAACCGGGCCATTTATGTTGTTTACTTCGTCGATTATATTAACATCAGCGTCATTATCAGGTTCAATTTCTACATTGTTATATTCGTGTTGGTTGTTTTGATTTTGAGCCGAATCAAACACATCGTTTCAGAGAATTTTATTGATACGTCACTGGTGTCTTTCGAGGAGTTATTATCCGGAAATTTTCTTTCTTTATTCTTTCAAACTTGTGCTACTTTATCTCGTAGATTTTGAGCTGAGAACCGATATGATGCATACCCTTTCTTTTCCCATAAATCTTTCATTATTTCCATATAACCCTTTCGCCTACCGCTCACATGCATGTTTTGCTAGCGCTAATGCTCGACATGTCACAAGATCTGCAATCATTTGGTCTATCCATTTTGTACGCTTTTGCGAAGCTTTCGTTTTAGGCGGCATTGTGTCTTCGCTTTACCTCAAGTATCTCACTTGGTTTTATACTTGTAGCGATATGCTCATTACTACATATAAATAAAGGCTTATTCTTCAACTTATACTCAAGTCAGAACGAATTTTCTACAATATATTGTAGATCACAGCAACCCCTCAAACCATGACCTTTTCCGCCATGTTGTCATTTTCATATTGTTATTAATAATAATAGTAGTAGTAATAATAATAATAATAATTAATAGTTAATAATTAATAATAATAATTAATAATAATTAACAATAATAATAATTAACAATTATTGGATGAGGTTTTTGTGATATGCGGAATTATCAAGGTCGAGGTGAGCGTTATCAGCCGAAACGAAGGCGAGGCTGATAACGCTTACCGACATTTTTATTATACAATTGAAGAATAATAAACATAGTATTAACGCATGAAAAATTTTATTTATGAAAACATATCCATATTCACATTTTTTCTACGTTTGTTCAAAATTTTGCTTTGCTAGTTTTCCTTTGTTTGTGTTAAATAGATACTGCTTGCTAATCATCGCAGGCTCATTTGCAGATAACTCAGTTATCTGCTAGCTAACATTTGCAGATAACTCAGTTATCTGCTAACAGATAACTGAATTTTTGTGTAGGTTGCGTGATTGCGCGATTTAACTGTAAGCTCTTAGCCAATCAAATTGCTTTTACCAACTACAATGTAAAATAATAACAGTTATCAATGCATACAGTAACTTGGGTGATCAAATATTATTGGTTTATCAAGGGTACACATTGTTGAGTGACACTTTTGAGTGACGTCGTTGCAGAACAACAAATTTAAGACCACTTCGACTTTTTACTGCATTCTTTTTCTGTCATACGTAGAACATCAGTATGAAAGCTGTGTTTTCTAACTAAAATGCAACTTGCATTCTAATCATTGTGTAATTTGTTTCAATTTAGATGTAAAGAAGGATATACCGGTGTTCGATGTGAAAGCAAAATGTCTCTTCCTCCAAGTCCGGATGTAAATGCTAACAGTAGTAATGAGAATGGTAAGACAAGTTTTATGTGTTTTTTTTTTTATCATTAATTGTAAGCCATGTGCATGTGTATCAAACTGGTGCATTAAATATAAATTATTATCTTTCACACTTGTACCCAATGCAACCAGCGGCAGCATACTGGCATACTAGCGTTCAAACGACGTGATTGGAAGGTGTAGCCCTGTTTAAGAAGATTCACGCTGCTTAATTTACTTCCGGCCATCCCGGCTTGGCTAACGACAATGATGCCGAGAATTAACCTCTCCATGGACAGAACTGCCGCCACATCACTATATACTAGAGACTGTACCTGGAGAAGAAGACAAGCATAGGAACAACAAATAAACATGTACTGACCAAACTCGACTGCTTATATACCAACAACTGCCTGCATGGAAACCCTCGATCACCAACCATTTCTTCGCATGGATATGGAGCTAGAAAAAGAAATAATGCTACTTGCCGAACGAGCAAGTTAAGTCGCCAACGACCACCCCTCGCCAATACCTGACACAAGCACAACAGAATAACGAGAGAAAAAAAAACAAACAAAAAACAACCACACCTACTAGCCCATTGAAGGCTCGCTGAGGGTACAACTAAGTATGACAGATTACGTGACAACCAATAACACAAAACAAAACCGGCAAGCAGCCAGAGAGACAACCAATGACTGCAACATCATGGCCGAAGCTACCAATGGCTAACAGCATCAAGAGGCCAAGTGCAGGCACTTGCAAATGTGTATCACACGTACCAACCAGGTGGTAAAGCCCGCCACCCCTGGGGGAAAACAAAAAAATCAACACCCACACGTGGTGGGAGGGGAAACGTGTGAGCGGCGTGGCACACAGTTTGCAACCAAGCTCAACAAACCCCGAGCCCTTAAGGCCTCAGTGTCACCTCCTAGCATCCTATTGGTCAGTGATAATGAATAACTGAATACATATAAATGAACACACAGCACAACTCGTGCTTGATGTTAATTATTTTTATTGCATTAACACATGTAAATTGTTTTTTAGCTGTTACAATTGGAATAAGTGTGGGTGTTGTTGTGATTATCTTCATCATTTTTGGAATTGTGGGCTTTACATTTCATAAAAAGATTCAAAACAGATACTCTGAAAGGTGGTGAGTTCAATTTAAATATAAGTACATAAAAGACACCAAGCAACCTCTAAATTTAGGCCAGGATATAGAAAGATTATGGGATTTCTACTTTACCAATTGAGAATCATATTCAAATCTACTGTAAATCCTTCTAATAGTGTTATTTTGCTTTCTATGTCGCTGCATGAATGTTTTATTGAAATGAGCCATTGTTTGCTTACCTTAAATTACTCGACTCTCTAATCAACTGGCTCATACTGTCGAATGGACACAACCCCTTAATTGTGCATTTACTATTATTGATCATCGAAACCATTTGTCAATTCGTAAAATAGTTTGTCTACTCGCTCAGAGTTTCACGAATTTTACGACTTATGTCGTTAAGTCGTTTCGATAGTACTGGACCACCATCCGGCCCGAAGGACCACGAAAACTGAATAATCGAATGACCCTCGCTTTTCCCTTTAAGAATACTAATGTAATGACGTCTTTTTTGTAGTGTAAGTTCACTGACGTTTAAAAACGGCGTCTACGAACCAACCACGGTATCTATAGAGTTTAGTGGAAGTGGAAGAAGTCTTTCTAAAGGGGGATTTTTAGGCATATTTACTAGAAAATCGCAGCCTGTAATGGTATGTTCTGATATACTTATGTCTGTTTGACTTAATAGAGAGGTTAAGATTTGACTTAAGCCGTGTTTACACTAAGCGACTGACATTTACCTGTACCTGAGAAGTACTTAGTCAGGCTTTACTCGGTGTGTTTACATTTGTTACCTAACTATAAAGGCCCAAGTACCATTGAATTGGCCATTACATACAATGCAAAATGAATTACCTGTAGAAAAAAGGTAACTCATTTTGCATTTTGCACAAAGTAGAAAATGACATCCGCTGAGTGCTGACATCAAAGACTCGAATTTAGGTTTGCTGTCATGGAAATTAGCCTCGAGCACGTCTAGGGTCAGTAAAAATGTGTTCACACTGCGGGCCTGACATGTGACTTACCTAGGTCCTAGGTCAGCCTTAGGTCAGTCCTAGTGCGTTTACACTACAAGACTAACTGTTCTAGGTCGGTCCTAGGTAAGGTATAGGTCTCTAGTGTAAACACTGCTTTACACTACCGCTACCATTAAGGGACCATGAACCCAAACAGAATACCATGATGCGTTTGATATATCCGATGAACAATCAAATACGTGTAAAGCCAGTGAGAGGTAGCGGTAGTCAAATCTGAAGTTTAATATTAATCTCCCTTGCTCATGCATGGCAGTGTCGAACATCTTGATCCGCATTCCTCCACACTAAAATTTCTACTCAATTCCGTTCTTAGGAGCCGTTTTCTAAAGACCCTGAGCCACCTGAGTTAGTGATGGAGTGAGTATAAATTTCCAATTCAGGGATGTGTCCACGATAAACAGCGTGCTTCAAGGAAGGAGACTGCACTCATTTTCTCACCTGCTGCCAATTTTCAAAACAAGAATTATTGGAAAGCAATATCTAAATGTATCTCAAATTGTAAATATTGTAAAGGGCTCCCATCAGTATTTAGAAATATCACCATCGACAGCCATAGAAATGTTTAGACTCGGAAATTTAATTTCAGAGCAAAAGGGTATACGGGATGGCGCCAATAAAGATTGCCAGCATGATTTTTATCATCCAGTCATGAAAGCAATATTTCACTACTGAGGGAAATTGCTGAAATATGTTTAATATTGTAAAATATTAAGAAAATATTTTGATATATAGAAAATGTTAAGAGATTGTCTTCACCACAACAAGATAAATTTCATAAATTTTTAGCCACCAGGATCATTTAGGTCATAATTTCATTTCCTATTAACACTAAAGTATGCAAATGAAAGAAATCAATGGTCTCTGTAAAGAACGGAAACCGAAACGACCGAATCCGGAAACGACCGAAACCGGAAACGACCGAAACCGGAAATTTCCGCCTAATTTCCCCCCTAAAATTGCCTAAAATTCAGCCTGCGAGCAGGCTCACTGGCAAAAAGGTGAGCCTGCACAGAACCAATGAACCATGCGTTTTATTCATTCATCCCTTTTCCACACTGCTAAACGCGAAACAATCAGCGTCGACTGGGATAATAAACAAAGACTGTCAACCATAGCTGTCAGCTGTGAAATTGACGCAGGGCGTGAAATGTACAACGAATGAAATGTATAAAACAAGTGTAAGGCCATATAAAATAAATTCCTTGATTCTCATCACCGCCCGACGACATTTTGGTTTCCGCGTTGATATATTTTTGTATTTTGTTATAAAATATAAATTTACCGCCCGACCGAGCATCTTCAGAGATTTAGTTATTTTTATATTTTATATTGGAATTTTTGCGATATAAAGTTGTTTTATCGTTAATATTGCAACATGTTAAGGGATGCTTGGAATACTGAAGGAAAAAATGGGCTTATTGCCTTATTACAACGATTTGTGTGGACCCTTATGCATGTTCAATGTTCATTAGCGCATGTGCAATTATCCACTTATATAGCGGTCTTCTATAATATATTTAAGGGTAAATATAAAAAGACCTCCCTCTCCAATTTTTAAAATTTTAAACTTTTTTTTTATATTTTGACATAAAATATAAAATATAAACCTCCCGCCTCCTGGGAGTTTTTAAAATTTAGCGATGAGAATCAAGGAATTTATTTTATATGGCCTAACTCCAAAGATCGATAACATTTTTATATTTATCAACGTTTCGACTATATTTCAGTCATCATCAGGATAAAGAAATGTATATAACAATAATATGAAGCATTAACAAGCCGCACAATATATTAAATATAGGCTCCAGATAATACATTACGAGTTAATCAATACACATACTAATTAAAAGCCGAATAAAATAGATACTACCATTGGCATTGATTGAATGTAATATTAATACTTGTACTACTTGTGATTGAAAGAACAAAGTTCTGAATATTTGAAGCTATAAGAAATGCGGTCAGATAAATTGGGCCTTTGAATGCGTTTAAATGAGCGTGCATTTATTTTTTTCGAAATCACGAGCGTGACATTTTAGTGGAAGTCAAATGATAAAGTGAATGCAATATCGTTTTTATTAAATTAAACAAAACCAGCATTGTTCAGGAAGTTAATAATATGTAGTAAGATTATTAAATAACTTACAAAATTGTCAATTGTCAGCAGTTAAATAGTATACAACCTTACGACATTTGGACGATATTTATCTAAAATGATATGCCATGCGATCGAGTCATCGAGCATCAACAATATAATTATTCGTTATGCTGGAAATTAGGCGGGAATTTCCGGTTTCGGTCGTTTCCGGTTTCGGTCATTTCCGGATTCGGTCGTTTCGGTTTCCGTTCTTTACAGAGACCCGAAATCAATTTTAGGGAAATAGCAATAAAAATTAAGTTTCCCCCGTGATTCAATAAATTTTGAAATTTTCTTACAGATGTTCTTGCTACAAAAAATATCACCCATGTTAATTGACCTTTCATTTGCATATTTAGTACCATAGGATATGGAATATAACCATCATGTCTTTATCAGTTAGTCACTTGATAAAATTTGAAATAAAATTTTATCTGAAATATAAAATTGTACTGATTTTTTACTTTTACTCATGGGAACCCTCGTATATCGCATATTGTACATAAATAATTGAAACCAAGACTTGGACTGTTAAGTATTCGAACATTTCAGACGAATGACCAAAATGTGTATATATTTTCATACATAGTTATAGTTAATTATTCATGTAAATATTATGTAAAGATTAATTCAATTAAGAAGTAGTCAGTTGAGTTTATGTTAAAAACTCGTAGATTCCAAGTGAATATTTGCAAGCCGAATCACAATTATAAAGACTGAAAGAAGGGTGTGTTTTGTTCTTCTAATGTTTTACTATAAGCTTATCTAATCTTTCTCAACTATCACAATGTTTCCATAAATTTTAGCAAGGCCTTATGGCGCAAATTCCGCGCTTATTTCAGGCATATATTGATTTAGCGAAACACAGTAATTTAGAGCGCAGAGTAGGAAATCTGCGGCATGTGCAAAGAAACCATGCAAGAATATCAGACTTTTCGGAAATACCGCGGAAGAGATTGAACGAGATTGTAATTTCATAGTGACAAATTTTCCCTCTCGAGCTAGTTGTGCGTTAAGCCCATTTTCCACTAGGCGACTTTGTTCGCGCGAAGTGAAGGGAAAAACAAATCTTGGCAATGTGATTGGTCAGCGAAAAAATTCGCCGCGAAAAAGTTGGATCAGTTATTATATAACCTGCGATCAGGGGCCGGTTGTATAAAACTCTTAATCACATTTTTAATCACAATTTTGTAGTTAAATAGTGATTAACTCTCAAATACGCGCTTCTTATTGGACGTTTCCACTAGCTATAGTTAACTTTAATCCAATCTCGTTCCCAGAGTATGCCTGTTCGCGGGTTAGGTTGTGGGTTAGGTTGTGGCACAACCTAACCCGCGAACAGGCATACTCTGGGAACGAGATTGACTTTAATCACTTTTGTACAACCGGCCCCAGGCCTATAAATAAATAGATATATTATTTGTAAAACAGAGCCTAGATCAGTTACTGCTTTTTTACTGTTCGCGCGAGCAAATTCGCCTAGTGGAAAGTGAATATTCGTCCCGAAATTGAACAACACTGAAAAGAAATTTATAATGAAGTTCCTGCGTGTGTTGTTTTGTGTCTCTTGTATGTTAATCCATTCGAGAAGTCCCCCCCCCCCCCCTTACACGCTACAGACAATAGTACTTTTACTTTTTACTTCAAGTATTTTTAAGGATACTTTGTACTTTTTACTTAAGTACGTTTTGCCTCCAGTACTTTTTACTCTTACCCAAGTCGTTTTATTGTTAATTACTTCTACTTTTACTCGAGTACAAATTCAAAGTAATTTAGACACCACTGTTAAGAGACATATGTCGGTCGAATGTTACACCAATGTGTTACTAGCTGTGTCAGATGGTTGGATTTTAAATTTGGATACATCTATATGACGCTACGGCAAATATACTGTAGCACAGTGATTTGCATCCAGAGTGCGAAACGTGGTCCGCGTAGTGTAAACAGAATACTAAGAAACGTAGTGAATTTTTAACGAAATTGATTTCAGAGTGACAAATGTAGACTAGTGGTCCGTAATTTGTACGCTACGGCAAACCACTCGTTAATAGTGTAAACACAATATAAGCGTAATTTTGATACGCGAATACACCCGGAAGTACGTGATTTATAAACCCCTTTTCAATCTGCGCATGCTCACCAGTACGTTTCGGTACGATACGAGCAAAGTGGAAAACCGGCTTTTGCCGTAGCGTTAGTGTAAACGCGGCCTAAAACAGCCAATGAAAGGATTTTAAAAGATATGTAGACAAAAAAACTCAAAATGTTATAGCGCTTCTAAATATTTGAAAAACGTAAACCAAATCGTTGTCGAATCGCATCCGGTGTGTCTGGGTTACTTCTATAGTTGCAGTTTTCGCAACTGCTCTTGGTTAGGTCCAATAAATGTATAAAATTCACACCCGAAATTTCCATCTACAAAACCCAAATACGGACTATGCGTGGTGGAGTATTCTGTAGAATGTTAATATCACGGATAATATTCAGTGGCCCAATATATACTAGATATCGAACCTTCGTCATCATGCAGGATGGCATGAATTTGACTGATATAGAAATCTCATCTCATTAAAATATCCTGGCTTCAAAATCAGATTACTGAATTCAATAGGATGCTTTATCCGTTTTATTTCAGATCAGTGCCTGGGATACACGGAACTGGGAAGTGCAAGAAAACTTGCAGTAGTTTCTAAAGCGCATACTCTTGAATTGGGACGCTTTAGCACCCGTAACAATTTTCTTATTTTCACAGTATTTTGATAAAATAATTTTGGCTAGCAAAAACTGCTCAACTTCTGGGAAATGGCAGTCTTCTGGGAAATGGCAGTTCTCTGAGAAGCCAATCAGATCTCTCCCTTTAGTCGTCTAACCCAGAGCCTAATTTTCAACGAGTGAAAATGGCTCTGGGAACGAGAATAGACAAAGACGGTTTGTACAAAGACGGTTTGTACGAAGACGAAATATACACACGCAAGTTCGTCAGACTATACGAACTACCGAAGATAGTTCGTCTTGAGGGATGAAGATAGTTCGTCTTGATGGATGAAGATAGTTCGTCTTGATGGATGAAGATAGTTCGTCTTGAGGGATGAAGATAGTTCGTCTTGAGGGATGAAGATAGTTCGTCTTGATGGATGAAGATAGTTCGTCTTGATGGATGAAGATAGTTCGTCTTGAGGGATGAAGATAGTTCGTCTTGATGGATGAAGATAATTCGTCTTGAGGGATGAAGATAGTTCGTCTTGAGGGATGTTCGCGTTTATACACAGACGAATTATCAGACGAACTACTTTTTCTTTGCGCAAGTTCGTCCAGACGGATCATTCGCCTCTACTAAACCGGGATAATATTTAGATTCGTCGGCAGGGGTGGAAAAAATAGGCGAGCACGCGAGCACTGCTCGCAGGAAATGTTAAACAGCTGCAGGAAATTCGTTTGAATGAAGATTTGCTATTGAAAATCTGAAGGAAACCTTAACACCCATGTCCCACTATGGGCGCAACAACATATATTGACAGACATTATTCCTTATATTTATGCACATACAGATTTAGCACAAAAATACTCCGTTGGTCTGCAGAAAATGTTTGTCTCCAGGTTGTGCTCCCGGGAAGAAAATTCTTTTTTCCTGCCCTGCTCGTCGGTAATTTCTTGCAAACGTCCCACTGTAAACAACGTTCAATTTTACTATATATTTAATAACATTTAAACACATATCACAATAAAACAGCCGGTTCGGCACTGGCTTTGTTATATTTTCGCCATGTCTGGAGGCGTGAACTCTAAAAAGAAGGCGGGTTGTGGGCGTGCCACACTAGCTTCTGATTGGCGCGTTGTCTCTACGTCATTACTATCATTTATAATGTTAATATAAACCTGAACCGTTCGATACACTCCCGAGGGTTGATGTTTGTACTAATATAAATATTAATAAACTTAAATCACGTTATTGTGTCACACAGTATCTTTACGATTGTTCTGACTTCGTAGGAAGTATTTAGTAACAACTGTACTCCTTGCGTTCGCCTTCAGCGGTTCCTTTGAAGAGGCATCCTCTTTCGTCTCTTCCGTCGTAGGATCCCTCGCGTGCGTTTCGTTCTTCTGCTTGCAACTCGACCGTATTTCTAGAGGAACAAGGTGTTGTATGGGTCTTCGTAACCATGTTGATTTTCCATTCTCTTGATTAACTACGCGTACCTTTGCCGCTCTAATAACACCGTCTTTACTGGCGAGTAATTCCTCCACCCTAGCTAACTTCCAAAATGATCGTGATGACTTGTCGTTCTTTAAAACTACGATCTCTCCTTCTTCTATCGCCAGCTTACGAGCCGCATCCGACGAAACCTTTGACCTTGATG